GAGCAGGGCAGAGCAGGGCAGAGCAGGGCAGAGCAGGGCAGAGCAGGGCAGAGCAGAGCAGAGTAGAGCAGAGCAGGGCAGAGCAGGGCAGAGCAGAGCAGAGTAGAGCAGGAAAGTCTTTGTGTCCATCCATGTCCTCCAGGCTCACTCTCTTCTCCCCTCTCCATACTCCATATACTCATTCTTCTTCATCCTTCACACCTCGTACGTCACACGCCGTAGTCCACACTCCACACTCCCCTTTCTCATACTGTATAGCACAACAACACAAGGCCAAAGTCACGAGCGACAAGAACCAAACAAACGTAAACGTACCTCCTGCAACTGCTTGGGCGTGTACCCCAGCCCGCCGATCGTGCCGATGCCGCCGGCGTTGGACACCGCCGCGGCCAGCGGACCGCCCGAGGTGCGCGCCATGCCGGCCAGCATGATCGGGTACTTGATTCCCAGGAGCTTGGTGAGGGGCGTGTTGAGCGCGGGGACTGACGAGGACGACATGTTGGGCGGTGTGGTGTGGTGTGCGTTTGTGTGATATGTGGTGGAGGTAGAGACGGAGGTCTGGAGGTTGCGGTCGGATGGGCTACTCTCGGGAGACGGTCGATCGAAGAGGTCGGTGGTCAATGCCTCGACGTCGAGAGGGATGAGGCGAGTACTCGGTGTCCGTCTCACTGTCCGGATAGCTAGCTAGCTAGCTCACTAACGATAGTAGCTTTGTAGTGATGTGTATCGCTCTCTCTCACCGGCGACGGTTTCGAGGTGGTGTCGTGTCTGAGTGACAGAGCCGCGAGCGCAGTCGAAGGAATCCGAGACCTCAAGGACCAAAAAGGAATAAAGACTCTCCTCGGTGCTTAATGTATGTACGAGGTGCAGTAAGGATGTATGTAAGTAAGTAAACAAGTAAGAATACCCTTACCTAGGTAACTTGGGGGACATACGACACAACCCCACGACTAAATACCTGAAGCCACCACAGCACAGGACCCAGGAAAGGGAGAGAGGGGGTCTCGCAAGGATTATTCTTGACCGCTGTGCCTCGCCTCGTTAACCGTGTCGTTCGTCCCCTGCGGGTTGCAGGTGGTATGTAAGACGCAGGTGTTGACTTGTAAACACTGACATGGTCCCTCCCAGGCGGAGGAGCGTTGGTGGTGGGGGGGGGGGGGGGGGGGGGGGGGGGGGAGGCGTTGGTATTTGACAAACACCACGCTCACGAGGGCGCGAAGGGGGCTCTGGGCCGAGGTCTGCGCGCCGCATGCCACGCTGCCTAGGAACTTGCCGAGCTTAACGAGGCCAAACGCGAGAAATGGACTGCTCGGCCCGATTGGTATGTTGTGTCGTACGTATTGGCACGTCTATTGGGCATGGGAAGAGCATAGGTACGGTAGGACAGGACATTAATACCAATCCTCCTGCCGCCGCTACTACAAGATCCCGGTTGGGGAGAAGAAACGAGTATCTTGTAACGAGGGCAGGACAGGAATCACGAATCCATTTCTAACGTCAATGCTGGGCTACCAGTGTCAAGTAAAAAGCAATGCAATTGCACCCGTCAACCAGTCTCCGTCGGCGTGTTCAGAACCACCACCCTCGCTGCTCCATCCCGAGAATCACATCTTACAGTTCGGCTTCCATCTTGTCCAGAATCGTCCTGACAAACTCATGCGTCGTAGCGTCACCGCCCATGTCTCGTGTGCGCACCTTGCTGTGAACCAGTCAGTCAGAGTCGCCGTCTCACAAGTCATGAACTTACCCATCCGCAATCACGTCGTACACCGCCCGTGAGATGCGGTTGGCATGCTCGTCAAGACCCAAGTGCCTGAGCAGCATGGTACCCGAGAGCAGAAGGGCTGTGGGGTTCGCTTGGTCTTTGCCCTGGATATCGAGACCAACGTGTCGGCACCCAGGCTCAAAGACCGCCACTTCCCGGCCCATGTTGCAACCAGGCACCACGCCAGGCCCGCCCACAAGCGCCGCGGCGATGTTCGTAAGGATACCTCCGTACAGATTGGGCATGACCATCACGTCGAACTGTTGAGGTCGCGACACGGCCTGCATAGAAGCGTTGTCGACAATCATGTCGTTCACCTCCAAGCTGGGATAGTCCTCCCCAATCTTCTTGACCGTGTTTCGGAACAAGCCATCGGCCAGTTTCATGATGTTCGCCTTGTGGATACAGGTCACCTTCTTCCTGTTGTTGGCCAGCGCAAAGGAAAAGGCAAACTTGGCGATCCGTTCCGACTTGGCCCGCGTGATAATCTTCAACGACTCGACCACGCCCTGCACCGACTGGTGCTCCAGCCCAGAGTACTCGCCCTCGGTGTTCTCACGCACGATGCACAGATCGACGTTCTTGTGCCTGGTCACCAGACCGGGGATGTTCTTGACCAAAACCACCGAGGCGTAGATGTCGAGTTCTTGTCGCAGCGCCACGTTGAAGGACTGGTGGCCCGATCTCTCGATAGGGGTGTGCAGGATACCTTTCAGTCCGAGCTTGTTCCGTCTCAACGACGCTATTGATTCCTTGAAGAGCTCTTCCGAGTGCTTGTCTCCCGAGTCGACGCCCGAGACGTCAACCTGCTCCCACTCAATGGGGACGTTGTCGGCCTTGAAGATCGTCTTGACGGCTTCGGCAACTTCGGCACCGATACCGTCACCTGTCACGGGTTTCCACGAGTGAGCACCAACACTATTCGCACGCCGCGGAGCTCGAGGGCCATATCGTACCAGGGATCAATGTCACGGTGTATTTCCCACCATATTTTGTCGGCTTGAAGATGTCGGACTCAACGGTTGCGTAGGCTGCAGCAGGGAACAAGTACATTAGCTTCGAGTGCGGAGGATCACGGTCGAGAGATATGCTCACATCTTGCGAGGAAGGGCGAGGTAGCTTGTGGTCTGGTTGCCCGCTGAGAAGCACGGAACAGCGCCTGCGGAAAGGAAGCAAAAATGCCTGATTAGATCTCTGGCACTCGGGGTAGCTGGGGGGGATTCTCACCTGAGCGCTACGAGTCGACCTGGCCAGCGACATTGCAGCGGAGCGTCATACAACGACTGGACTTTGGGTTCGAGGTCGGTCCTGGTCGTGGTGCGCGAAAAGCAAAGCAGAGAAAACTTATCGCAGGTGGAGGAGCTTTTGTTTCTGATGCAAAGGGCAGTTGAAGCTCCTGGCCAATCACCGCGGGGCCTGCGGGCAGCAAATCAGAATGACGTCGACGGGCCAATCCGGGCTCGCCGGGTGATTAAGCGAGGCTGCGAGGCATTTTCTCTCAGATACTCAAAGTGGGAATGCATTCAGTAAATCTGTTGCTGGATCCGAAATCACCACTACTACAAGGCTAAACGCATGTGTCTGCTATCCTTCCTCTTTCCAATGTCTGCTGAAATACCGTTGTCCCTCTCACGGCCTCGCCAGGTCCGCGTCCGCCGAACCTAGTAAGTCTTGAAGTTCAACGGGCCTTGGGCGTGCCTCAACTTCGCCCCAAAGAATTGCAAGAAGACGACCACGAAGAATGCGGCTCCCATGATGCCGCTCTGAATGCCATATTCCGTCTGCGTGCCCGCCTTGGTGGCCCAGTTGATCTGGATGTACCTGGATTGACAATATTAGCCTGGGAGAAAAGTGAGACACAACCGAAACATACCCGATGATGAATCCACCCAGTGTTCTGGCAAAGTTGAGCAGGGCTGCACACTCCCCAGCAGCCTCAGGGTAGGCGTCAAGCAAGTACGCACCCACCGCTGAAGTGGTGACAATCGTGGCGAAGTTGTGCATTCCCCACCCCACGGCGAGAACCCAGTAAGACCATGTGGGAGCATGATGCAGGGTGGTGCCGATCAGGTTGTACCCGATGAGCTTGAACGGCAGAACAAGCCACAAGATGACCAGTCTGTTTTCGGGTGCGATGATTCCGTTGTGGCGTTTCGCCCACATTCTGGCAATGAAGTCGAACATGAAGTGACCGATGACCAGTCCCAGGATGGCGCCAACGACGGGTGCGGTGTAGATGGCTGCAAGGTTGCGGAAGTCAAAGTTATACGCAGGAATGATGAAAACCGAGATGGTTGTATTGTTTCCAATGGTCCAGGGGACTGTATGGGGTTAGCCTGGGTTTGCAGCCACTCGAGGTCAGCCCACTTACAGTCGAAGAAGTAGAAGAGGCAAGTCAAAAACACCGGCAACTTGAGAACGGTGTATCCCAAGCGGCTTCCGGCTTCGAGGAAAGTGTTGGTCGTGTACTTGGTCTTGTACTGCTCAACACCGACAACTCGGAGAAGACGGTTCTTGCGTCTTGGAACTCGATCTGGCATCAGATGTCTGGGATAGAATGTCTCGTCGCCGAGAGTAACAGTCAAGGCCAGTCCCAGCGTGATGATGCCAAAGTTCAGCCACATTCCTGTTCTCCACGTGCTCACACTGAGAATGGCGGCCATGAACTGCGGACCCAGGAAAGGGGAGAGAATGATGGCGGTACTCCAGATGTTGATCTTTCTCGCGTGCTGGTGGAAGAACCAGACATCCTTGATCCACATGAGACCGCCACCTGCACCGGCAACAGCGAACATGCCGTTCAAAATGCGGGACGCCATGTATGATTCGAAGGATTTCGCGGCGGCGGACCACGCAGCTGTGCCGGCGGAAAGACAGCCAAACCAGAAGAGGACGGGAAGGCGACCAATCCAGGCCGAGAGCCAGACGGTCAGGATACCGCCGACACCCAGCATGAACGTGTTCCTTTTGACATGTTAGCGCAAGGCATGTGTTGAGCAGTGGCATCGAGACCTACCCGGCCGTGGCATGGTTGACCTCATTCGGATTAATGCGCCATTGTGTCGCTTGGGGAATCAGCGCACTTGCGCCGGTGGCGGCAGAGTAGTCCGAAGTCGCAGCGTTGACCGCAATCACCACCAAGATGGCTGCCTTTTTCCAGCTGGACCAGTTCAACGGGTCTTCTGGATCCTCGGTGGGCTGGGGAATCAGGACCTTGCCGTCGCTCGACTTCTTGAGGGGGACGTCGGGCGCAAGACCCAGCTTCTCGCGAATCTTGGCTTCGTCGAGCAAGTAGCCATCGGTCTCACCGACACGGTCGAGGTCGAGGGCGGTGGCCGTGTGAGTCGCAGCCTTCTCGTTGTTGTTCTCTCCACTAGAGATGGAAGGCGGTGTCGAGGTGTCAACGACGGGGGCCTCGGTGGCCGTCGCCTGAGGCACGTCCTTGGGTGAAGTTGGCTCGTCCGCCATGACTAGACTGCGGTGGTGTGAGAAGGGTAAGGGAGGGGAACGAAGGAAGACTAGGCGACAGAGGCGGTGGTGAGGAAGGGACAAGTGAAGATGGAAGGACCAGACCTGAGTGAAGGAGATGGAGGGCAGGGGCTCGCGTGCATTCAAATAAATTTCTGTCCCTCGTGTCACTTTGTTCGCTGCAGTTGAGTAAACAACGACCAGGACCCCAGCAAGGCCAGCAGCCAGCAGCCAGCAGCCAGCAGGGGAGGGGCTTGACTACTCTTTTTAGTAGTGAGCTGTCAATCACAGAGCCATTGGCTTTGGAGTGTCTGCTCGATACTTCCGTAGCGCGACGTGCCATGCAATCGAAGTATAACAGAGGGCCCCCCTGGCGAGGCTACCGGTAGATTCGCTTACGATAGGTGGAACCAGCACGTACGAGTAGTCATCGTCAGTTGGGTCTAGGAGCTGCACCCCATGAAGAAAGGGTGATCCGACTAACCGCATTCTTGGTCTTGACACCTGTTTGACAAGTCTTGGGATCGGCGTGTTCGAAAAGGGAGCCAGAGCCCACGAGAACTTGCATTGGGTAGTTGAGACTCCGTCCGGATGCGCTGGACTGCAGGTCCAGTCTCGTGTCCCTTGCGCCCGGGCTCAGTGAGTCGGACAGACCGCTCAATGGGAGTCACAACTGCCACCATCCGACAGTCAGCCATGAGTTTCAAAAGGTCAGAGTGGCTGAGACGGCGAGGTGTGATTTGACGGAGAATTCAAGCCCAAAGCTAGGAGGTTTGCGAAAAAGATTATTTTGTTTTTGGTCGAGGAGCGACAAAGACAGCTACCTGAACCAGTATCCCCTTGTCCTGGTTCGAGGCTTGCTGGAGGCTTGCTGGAGGCCTGCTACTCGTAAAAGCGAGACGAGCGAGGTGCAGCCCAAGAGGAGAGGAGGCTAAAGGAGGCGGCTGACTGGGTGGAGGCCACGGACCCCGGCATCCACAAAGTACTATATTTTGACTAGCGCCGGCCGCCCGGTGGAGTCGGACCGCCGACCCCAGCGGCACCGGCCAATGGGAGGCTGCAACGGAGTCCTAGGGGGCCGGGCGTTAATGCATAAGGCTGGTGAGGCTGGCGGAGAGCGGATTGATTTTCAGGGGATGGATCACGAGGGAGTCGAGAGGCAGGGGGGTTGGTCAGTCTTATTGCAGTACGGAGTACCATTATTATTGATGGACAAGAGGACAGTACTCCGTACTAATAGCAGCACGAATAAAAGGATGTTGACTTTACGAGTCAATATGTTGACAAAAAATGCATGTGGCCAGCCAGCCATCCACTCAACACCGGTACAACACTTTCTATATCGAATGGTGTGTGTGCACGACGTGGAACCAGGTGCCTCATCCGATGTGTCTCCTTCAGGCTTCCTCGCTCGTCTCCTCCCGACGGCCCCTTTTCCTCGCCGTTCGGCTCGACTTATAATATTCAATTGCTGACTTCGCTACCCCAGACCAATATGGCCTGACTAAGCCCTTGCACAAGAGAGACAACCCTAAATCACAATAATGGGGGGATGCTCGACGATCCCAGGGGCCATGAACGGGTTTCCTCCAAACTCTACGAGGTGCTGCCCAGGAGTTGTACTCGTAGTCTGGCATATCCTGCAAGGAGAATTATATGTGGCGTGGCTATGCGACTAGCCACCTCCTGCGGCCGTCGACGCTCACTCAGCTGATCGACCGTCTTCCACAGAGATGAAGTTCTGCACAAAGGACAGGAAACACAACCAAGGGAAATAGGGAAATGCCATCACGGCCCAGGTCGATTGATCTATTGACCGCTCATCCGTCACCCTCATGAGCCAAACTTCGCAGCCGCCTTACGGGACTGATCATGATCTCTCACTGTGTCCCCAATCATCTAAACGCTCTTGCACACTCATATCCTTGTCGTCCGTCCCATCGCTCATGCCCCAAAAATTTCATATCGACTCAAAGGCTCTCATTAAGTGATTGACATGATGGAGAAGAAGGTCCCCGCCCCCCTTCCGCTCTTCAGAGATAGTACAAAACAGCTAGATTCGCTCAGATGCTCGTCCTGGGACGCAAGATTTTCCGCGAGAGAAAAAGACCGCACGAAAGTAAACCCGCCTGCAAAATGGGGTATTGGGAAGTGAAAGACAACAATAACTATCCAGCAATGGGGCGAGAAGTGCTCATCACTCCTCCACCCCCTTTCGAAACTTCGTCAAGTCGAGACATATTCGTTCACATGAACAACATCGAGCTCTCGCGGCGTCGTGCCCTGACACTCGCTGCATTTTCGGGAGCCATCATATTGTTCGATCCTCCGTACTGACTGCTCCCTCCATGTTGGTTGGGAGGCTGGGGTGGCGGGTATCTGGGCGCGCTCATCGGCATCTCGTGTGGAAACGACACGTATTGTCTCGACTCGTACGACGGTTGGATCGGCGCAAATCCCAGCTCGTTCGTGGGATCATGCTGCTGATACTCAGGTCGGGCACTGACTGGGATGCCGCCTGTGGCCCGGGCATTGTGAGCAAAACTGTCTTGGTTGTACATGGGCGTGGGCAAGTCGGTAAACATCTGCCGCCGGGGCGATCGGATGTCTTCTGGCGTGAGGGCGCCCTCTCCACGCTCGATCTCCGTCGATCGAACAGACTCCCCATCGCTGGGCCTGTCGAAGATCGCCTCAAAATCCGTCAGGAATAAGGCGAACAGGGGTGCTGGGATGTTGAGAGTCGGAGAGAAGACGATTCCGACATTCTTAATGGTCATCTTGTTCCGCTCCGAGTTCTGCACCACCTCCAGCAGGTATTGTGAAAGCGTCCGTAGCAGCGAGAAATTCGCGCCCGGCAGTTGGTGCACCAGAAGGTTGAAGGTCACAATCTTTTGTGATTTCTCCGGCAATTCCAGCCCCTTCAGGAATTCAAGATGCAGTTCGCGGGTCAAAATCGTCGACGGTAGCTCCCGTAGATACGTTTTGAACAGGGACGCCACGGCGTGCACATCGTAGTCCTCATCCTCCGCCAGCAGATCAACATCACCCTCCGTGTTGAACCGATCTTTGAGCAGCCGAATTACAATGTTCGACCCGCTAAGTCTGAATAAACCTTCTTCATTCGCGGCGTTCTTGGCTCGGAGAAACTCGATGCAGCGATACACCACCGCCGGGAGATACACCTCCACGTCCACGGGTGAGTAGTACTCCACCGCCTCCTGGAGCTGCATCCCGAACACCGCTCTCACGTGCCCACCCCGGTGAGCGTTGAGTTCGGATTTCTTGGGTTGAGCCGGCTGCACAGGAGCAAGTTGCTCGTACGATGGTTTCCGGAAGTGGAACAGATTGCGCTTCTTCTGCTCTCGCTCTTTGCTGCCACTGTTGCTCGCGGATTTGTTGCCCCAGCTTCCAGCATCCGAAATGACAGCACCGTTCATCGGGCCTGAGATATTGTACGGTTTTGAGGTCGGGACAGGTTCCTGAATGAGCTCGGGAGTTTGGCTAGACGCGATCGAGGGAGAAGGCGTGTTACTGTGAGTTTGTGGACTTCCGTTCGATTTAGACTCTGCGTCCTCGTGTCCCATTCTTTGAGCCACTTTCACGTCCTTGGTGTGTGAAGACTGGATGCCCGCTCCGTACTGCGGTTTGGGCTCCACCGGCCGCTCGTCGATGTAATGCAGCAACGTCTCCACCCACTCGTCCCGCTCTGCGTCGCTTTCTGCGCAAAGCACATGCCGAACGTGGCTGTTCATGTCCTTGCGCTTGGGCTCGAGGATGAGAAATGCGTGACGATATTGGTTTTCTGAGTCGGCCTCTGCATTTGAAGGGTCGGATTGCGTTTGCCGCCCAATGCGGGCATTCAATAACTTGATTGTACCGAGATGCGCACCGCCAGGTGCTTCGAAATACCTCAACTCAGGACTGTCCAGAACAAAATATCGGGACTTCCATCCTCCAAAATTCTTCCCCTTTTTGGTCAAGTACCCGGATTTGGTCGGAATGCCCGAATGCGACTGTGGCGCCTGTCTAGTTTGTGCGTCCTCAGTGTTATGTGAGGCAACGGTGAGTTGTGGCTCCATAACATCTGTCGACAAGAACCGGCATATGACCGCAGCCGCTTGTTCATCCATGGGAGTATCGAGCAAGTCTTCAAAATAGTCATTAATCGCATTTCTTCTCGCGTCGACGACAGCAGGCGAATGACCGGAAAAGAGTTTTCGGTCGGGTAGTTTGGGTAGATCGGAACAGCGGGATCTCAGTTGCTGTTCCAGATTCGGTAGTGAAGTAGGGATTTTCTCCACGCGCCAAAGTTCAGACGACGTAGCGCGCTCAAAGACTGACAAGCTGAAAACAGCGTTCTCTTCCGGCATCCTCAGTCCGAGCATGCTGTTTCTCGAGGGGCGCAGTCGAGAAGAGGCGACCTTCACCTGAATCGAGGGCAAAGCATTTGGAGGAAGAAGCAGGTCAGGCCAACTTGGATCGATAAGTGCACGGCTCACTGCTGGCACCTCACCCGGGCTCAGAGGAGAATCATGGATCTGACCGCGGTCCAAGTCAGTGCCGGGAGCGGTGTTCATCTTCGACAGAGATGAAGGGCCGATCTTCTTGTGAGATTCGGAAGCAGCTGCCTGTGCTTGTGCCAGCGCCTGGGGGTTAGGTGCTTGCTGGCCGGGTGTCGTTGGCATAGGTAAAGGCATTTTTGGCGCACGAGGTGAAAGAGGAAAGTTACCTCCAGGCACACGCGGAGACATAGGAAGCGCAGAGCCCATCATGGGACGAGGACTCATCGGAAGACCGGGACTTCGCAAGGGTAGCGACAACTGAGCTGAAGATCCCACTGAGCCTGACGTTATCGAGGCAGGGGAGAGATGATCCTGTCTCAAAGGCAAGGGTTGAGTGACTTCAGCTACAGGCGGTGGGAGAGGCATCTGGTCAAGAACCGTCGCTTGTTCTGATTCGGGCTTCGCTTTCTTCTCCTTTTTGGACCGACTTCTCGCTTCTTGCTCTTTAAGGGCAAGAATTTCGCGATCTCGATCATCTTCTTCCCGAGTTTTCCGTCGACCCCTCTGAATGGGCTGGCGCTCCTCTTCGTCTTCGTCACTGATAATCACGTCGTTCGGGACGATGACCTGGTGAGGTGGTAACTCCTCCTTTGCTGGTCGCAGATCAAGCGGCTTGGGGGGAGCTTTCCTGGAGGCTTGGAATGATTTTGGGGGCTTCTCGGAGAGCGGAGTGGCCTCGGTGAGCGCAAACGAAGGCTGTGCCAGCTGCGTGGCTAAGCTCTGCATCTTCGGTGGCTGTTGTTGTAAGTGAAGTGGTGACGGCATCATAGCAGCATCAATGGGCGAGCTCTCCATCTGGATACCTGTAATACCTCTACCCGCAGTCTGTTCCTCTGCCCTCAAGCTCGCTTCTCCGTCAGATTGAGGCGAGTTTCCTTCTTCCAGCCGGAGACGGTCCACCTGCGACGTCGAGGGCTGAGCCTGCAGTTCCTTGACTTTCTTCCTGTATCTGTCCCTCTCTTTCGTCAATCGCTCGAGGTCTTTGTTCAGACCCAGCAACAGCGCCCTCTGCTTGTCGACGAGTTTCCATAGTTGGGCATTTTGCGCCGCAGCGTGACCTTTGTCCTTCAAGAGGTGCTGAATCAGGTTCTCCGCCGAGCCAGCCGTGGCAATGAGATTTTGGACCTCATCTCGGGTGGGCTCCTTCACCTCTCCGAGATGCTTTTGAGGATGCGAAGCGTTTGAGATATTAGAAATAGCGGAATCGATGGATGATGTCCGCGGCATGGTGTTCGGTAGGTGCACGCTGGTCGTCGAGGAAGCGTACGACTTGGGGGATTCAGAGAGGGCTGTCACCCCTTGGTCCTTTTGACTTAGGGATCGTGATGATATGCTTGACTCCTGCTCGTGGGACGGCGCAGTACTGTCGTTGCTCTTTTCTCGTGTCAGGGCAGCGTCACCCTCCGATATATTTTTGACCAGTCTCTTTCCAGAATCATTAGGTAGAGGGGCCTTCCCATACAAATCGTCGTCCTCCTCCTCGATCTTGCGCTGCTGCCCTGGGGTCGGCCTCGAGCTGGATAACGAGCTCAGGTAGTCTCGAGGGATTAAACTGCCCTGTAGCACGGCGGGACTTTGTGGTTTGCGGGAGGCTAGAATGTACGAATGAGGGCTGGCCAGCGAGGAGGTTGAAACAACAGCGGTTGTTTGGGCCAAACGATCCCGGGGAGACTGAGGGGGAAGTGTGTCGCTGGTCGACTGGGACATTTCGGGCAACTCGATCAGGCTGCATAGGGAATGGGGGGGTTGTTCCTTAGACTTTGGGCCATTATTGGCAAATGTGACGGGGGAGAAACACTTGGAGGCCGCTGACAGGCCAGCTGTGCGAAGCGGCGCAAGGACGACTTTGACAAAGTTCCTACAGGCTCCGGAGCACGCAGAAGGGCCTAACAGAGACAGCGTCGAAGTCGGTGTCGATTTGCTCGTGCTGCTTCACAAAAGAACGAGTGACGAGCGCAGGAGAGGGCAAGCTTCAGGTGTGTCCGTAAGCGCCGGGAGGCAGGCCCAGAAGCAGGCGATTGGCCGCGAGGGAGGCCAACGTGGGCGAGTGCTGGGCCTTTCAGGTTGATGGGCAATACGAGGAACAAGACGTGGAGGCGGAGAGCAGTTAGAGAATGGAGCGTTTGCCTGCCAATCTTCCCACTGGCGGCCACTGGCTGCCTCCGGTTCCCACTGGTTCCCACTCGTTTGGGAGCACCGCAGCCAAACCCAGCGCCAGAGCCACCACCAAAGACGCAATCATGCACCGAAAGATTGTCCCTCTCTCCACCTTCGCCTAATGAATATCTCCGTCAGAGATGGAGGCCTCTCTGGCGGAAACAGTGAGCTTGGTGGCCTGTACTCGGTACCCATTTGACAGACACTAAAGCCCTCGCACCGACCAACATTTGATCTCCTCCATCCAAGGTATCGAGCCATTTTGCAAGGACAGGAATCTGCGCAAATTGGTTTCAAACACTCGCGGGAAAAGCCTGAAACAAACGTGCCCGGCCCGCTTTCTGGAAACCAAACCTCTGACCAAAGCCTAGAGAGACGCAGCCGACGCGACCCTCCTCCTTGACAGAACCACGTCTAAACTAACGGTCTAACGCTGCACCCTCCCCGTATCGTCAAATTCCCTTGCGGTCAACCTCCCAGCGCCGATCAGATTCTGGACCCTGAAAATCCGAGAAGCGAAGCGAAGGTTACCAGGGCCCCTGGCTAAAGCAAAGTGCCAGTCGTGGAATTCGTTACTCCTTTCCCCTGCTTCGAATACTCGTATTGCAAAGAAGAGGCGGTTGAGGTTGATCATAGGGGAAACAGGACATCTTTTCTCTGCTCATCCACCGCCAGAGCTCACCCCTCCCACCTCGAGCCGACGCTCGGATCGTTTCAGCTGCAGGAACCCGAGAGCACCAAGTCCTTCCGTGTGATTGGCCTGCCCTAGGCTTTGCCTCAGTCCAATCACCTCCGCCTTCCAGGGATCGCATGTGCATCATCAACATTCCTTTCACACCGACCAGATCCTTTGGTGGCCATTCAGCGGTTTGGAGTGAGCGTCTTCTGCATTCTTCAAGAAAGTCTCTACTCTCGCTGACCTCCTTCGGAGGCTGAGCACATGCATGACCTCGGAGGCAACTGAGTTGCCAGCACACCTGATATCAGACTGCGCGTGATTGGTCGTGGAACCCTTGACGACCTCGAGCCGCCGGGACTCATGACTACACCTGCTGGACAAAGTCCATGGGGATGACAAATGCTCCGTATACACCAGCATAATTCGCCTTCAGTGCTTGGTACATGCCTTGGGGGGGTTGCCTTGAGACAACTTCCTTCGCGGGGTCTTGCTGATCCGAGCCCTTTGGTTTTTTCTACCATTTCCCAAAAGATAGGAACAGGGCACATCATCCAGGTCGTTTCCGTTTGTTGGCCGCTCCCGGCGTCGACTCTCTGCTGGAAGTGCCAGACTTTCCGCCTGAGGTGAACTCGATCGTTCTCTTTCCCGCAGCTGACAGGCTTTTCTTGGAGTTGGAGTCCTGCTCGCGTAAAGCTTGCTGACTTCGGAGCAGTTCCTCCTTGTATGCCAACGGTGGAAACCCCAAAGGATTCCAGACCTCCTGTGGCAAAGAAGTTCTGTACTGGTCGTCACCCTCCACTCCTGCTCGAGCCATCATCGTAGCCAGCAGCCCGGGATTGCGGAACGTAGACTTGTTTGCGAGGTCTTCGTTGAAATGCACTCCTTTAGCCTTGAGCTCCAAAAAGCGCTTGAATTTGGCGTCCAGTGCGGGATCGGGAGAACCTGGGGGCGAAGGCGGGATGGCCGTCATGGGATGCGTCGCCTGTGTAAGCAAGTGAATAGTCTCACGTTCGGACATGTGTTGCTGCGAGGTCTCTGCTGAGGATTCTTGCGGCTGAACAATATCATCGTCGCCCTGCATTTGAGCGGGCATGGTCGGACCCAGCATTGGCCCATTGTCGGCGCCTGTATTCCTGCCTGTCCCCTTGTCTAGCTCTGCCGCTGGAAATCCTTTGTTGATGCTGCTTCTGTCAAGGCCATCAGCTGGAACTGTAGAGTCGGCTGATTTCCCTTTGGACGGTTTACTGGGTACGACTTTTGGAGGGGACTGCTTTTCTTCATCGCTGCTGCTTTCATAGTTGACAAGTCCGCTCATTTTGGCGTATTCGCTGTGCTTAAAGGACCAGACACAGCTCGATGGGTAAAGGAATACTAAACTCGAAGCCTAGAGTCGATCCTCTTCACAGTTCGGATCGGCCACCGCCAAATGTGGCGTTCGGATTCTGCTTGGCGTGACCAGCCACAGGTGCGGCGGTGCAACTAGGCGGAGAGAGCAGTTGCGTACAACCATTTGCATGCACGCAGGTCGTTGATGAATTAAAGATCCAGCACCTCAAGCTCATTTCCTCTATCCATCCTCCCTCAGACATTCAAATCTGTCCGCAGCCATGGCGTCTCTAATGAATTCAGAACATATACCCTCGGATCAACCTGGCTACTCGTTCGCAAACCACGCCGCATCGGCACAAGAAGCCTCAGGACTCAAACAACATGCCTTCTATCCGTTCGTTCACATTGTCTCTTGAACTCCATCAGCCTCACTGACCTTCAGACAGATACACTGACAACGGCGGATCCACACTCGGTATCACAGGCGCAGACTTTGCCATCCTCGCCGGCGACACGCGCTCTACCTCTGGCTACAACATCAACTCCCGCTTCGTCCCCAAACTGTTCCGGATTGGGGAAGATGGTTCCGACGAGCAATCCTCGCGGATCGTGCTTGCAGTTGTGGGCTTTGCGGCCGACGGCAACGCACTAAAAGAACGCCTCGATGCCATTGTCAAGATGTACAAGTATCAGCACAACAAACCCATAAGTGTCAAAGCGTGCGCGCAACGCCTTTCGACGATCTTGTACCAGAAGAGATTCTTCCCATATTATGTGCACGCGATCCTGGCGGGATTGGATGAGGATGGCAAGGGGGCGTTGTATTCATACGATCCTGTGGGGAGCTACGAGCGGGAACAGTGCAGGGCTGCGGGCGCGGCGGCGAGTTTGATCATGCCTTTTCTGGACAATCAAGTCAACTACAAGAACCAATACATACCAGCGTCAGGTGTGGGACATGACTTGAAGCAGAGGCCGGTGGAGAGTCTGCCGAAAGATGTGGTTGTTGGGCTGGTCAAGGATGCTTTTACCAGCGCAACGGAACGACATATTGAGGTGGGTGATGGGTTGCAGATGTTGGTCATCACCAGGGACGGGATAGAGGAGACATTCACGCCCCTCAAGAGGGATTAGAACCACACTGAAGACTCAGCTTCTAGGGGGCTTTGTTTCTGTATGCATAGCTCGGCGAAATGGGGTCAGGCTGGAAACCCGAAGCCACATGGGTTGGGTCAATCTAGTTTACCTGGGGTCGTCATCATTTGGTTTCTATTCTTTTCCCGTTTCATTGCAAGGATATGGCTGAGGTTCCAGGGTGGTAACGACAAACCACATTTCCCTCCGGTCGTTTTCATGCGAATCCATCCATCCATCTCGAACGCCCGTTCCCATTGATCACCGCAACATTTCATATGCACTCGTGAAAAAGCCCTCTGATGCACCGTGCCATGGGTAATAGTGAAAGAGACACAAAAACAAACATCCACGCTCAAAATCTCTCCTTCATCCGCGACGCCACGGTCCGCAGATTCCCATACACCTTGCCGGGCGGGGCGCCGAGGATCAGACTGACGACGGCCTCCCTGGCGATGCGGATGTTCTGGAAGCCGCCGAGGATGTGGATCTTCGAGTCGGCGAGCACGACGCGGGTCTTGGAGGTGTTTTCGATGGCGAACTTGGTCTTGCCGTCCTTGCCGGCGATGCGGCCGATGGCGCGGCCCAGGTGCTCGCCCTGCAGGGTCTTGACGTCCTTGATCTCGAACGTCTCGATGTATAGGTCGTCGAGGCGCAGCAGGGCGACGGCGTCGTCGACGTCGAACCCCAGCGTGAAGGCCCGCACAAAGTCCTCGCCCTTCTGCAGCGCGCCCGCGTCCGTCGTGAACCGCGACGTCCGCAGCTCCACCGCCTTGGCCTTGACGTTCATCCGCACCTGCAGCTTCAGGTGCTCCACCAGCGGCGGGTAGATCTTCCCCCAGCTCTGCTTCAGCGGCGACATGCGGTGTGGCGGCACCGGCACCTTGCGCGACTGTATTCGGAGCGCCGCCGTCGTCTCTGAGCCGCTCTGTGAGGCCGGGGCGAATCGAGGTCGGCCTTCTTCGTCGATTTGCATGGCTGTGTCCGTCTCTTCCAGTGCCTGCGTCACGGCGCTCTCTGGTTGGGGCGCCGTTATTATGTCCACTTCGATATTTTCTTCATTTGAGTCGGGAGGGAGAGGAATGTCGTGGGGCTGTTGGTCTGCGGACTCGGCGATTGTCTCTGGAGGAGCGCGCTGCAGCGCCGTCGGAGCAGGCATTTTCGATGTCTTTCTGAGATTTTATTTTAGCCTGTAGAGAGTACCAAGTTTGTAGTCGCCTGCGCTGTTCTCGAATCTGAAGGTTCCAGTGTACAAGGCGATTTTGTGTTTGGCGGTTGATGTTCGGCAGAGAAATAATTTTCTCCGCAGCATCGCATTTCACTTGCAATTGTGGGGGCAGCAACTCAAGAAGCGATGCTCCACCAGCTGCGCAGCATATTTTGATAGACAAACTGAACGATCGACACAAGTCGTCCTCTCTGACAACTTGGATGACTTATGACTACTAACCCCTAGAAATATTGAGTGTCTTTAAAGGCAGAAGCTCCAGACCTGGGTGTCAATGGCCGCTGTGAATACTAACAGTGGAAATATCAAGTTTATTCACAAACCATACTACAACCACCTCATTTACAGAAATATACCAGCTCGAGGCCGGGACTACTAGCCAGCCTGGAATAGGAGATTACATACATACTTCTCCAAACCCCCTCGTTCCCCGTTTATATTTTATCTTTGTCCCGGCACAAAACTCCCATAATAGCCTGGCAGTTCGGCGACCTGTCGGGTGGTTTCGCCCTCTAGCTCACTTCGTTCGAAGACCTGTGCTTCGGCCAGCTCTGGTGATGGTTTCTGCACCGATGACGGACTGTTGGGTATTTGTGAAGACTTCGGCTCCGTTGGTGGGGGCACGGAATCCGCCGGGGCGGTGGTCTTGCGGTTGCGACGGGTCCCAAGGAAGTATGCGAGGCCAGCAATTAAGGCTAACCCTACAACGCCTCCAACGACGCCGCCGGCGATAGCGCCGGTATGAGACTTATGAGGAGGAGGAGGAGATGTTGATTTCGCGGGAGGCTGCACCGGGGCCGTCGGGGTAGGTGTTGGGGTAGTGGTGGGATGAGTCGGGGCGGCGAAAGCTGTGTTTGTAGAGCACTGTTACTCATTCTATCCCTATGCCTGGAAATGAACATCTCACTTACCAAATTCTGTTGCCAGTGCGGGATCACTCCACGCGGGCTTGACGTAGTTTTGGTCATAGTATTTCTGGATTAGCTGCGCTCGCTCGTACGGTGCAGCTGCGGCGTCATAGTGATCCTTCCACTGCAATTCAGTCATGTCCATGACCCCTATACCGCTAGCCCACTCATCGAAGTCGGCGCCGAACTGATTGAACGTGCTAGGCGGGCGGCCGCCAATAGAGACCATTTGTCTGTTGCCGATGACGGAGCAAGTATGGCTGCACCGGCGGGTGCTCGTTGTCGCGGGGGTCTGAAACCATCTGAATGCAGGGAGAGAGAGGACATAGACATTTAAGTACCCAGGCTCATTAGGGTAGTTGAGGTCATATGTTGTATTGGTCATACCGCCGTATACAAATCTGATACGTTCACGTCAGCCTAGGTCCTGAGAAACATGAAGGTATACTTTACAGTTCGTATGTCTTCCCGTCGGATGAGGCCTTCCCCACCGTACAGAACTCTGTTCTTGGTGGAGGGATGTCGCCAGTCGCTCGCTGAACATACCATTTCTTCGTGGATACGTCATACAAGACAATATCTGCCATATCGCGCAATGATGTGTCTTGCTCAAATGTGAACGCTTGTTCGCTTGGATTAGTACCTCCGACAACGACCACAAAACCTTCTTGACCGAAATTCGAGGCGAACTCAGCCTTGGCCTGGTTAAAGTACGGTGAGCTATTTGGAATGTCGGTTGTAGAGTTGCTCCAAGTCTCACTCGATGGGTAATGCTCCACCAAGCCTGAGACAATGGTATTCGGGTAGACTGATTCGCCATTAGAGATGGAGCCTCCCAAGCTGTACAACGTCGAGTTGCCCACAGCCCAGGCTGATGCCCACGGCGCGTTCGATCCGTATGACAACCCATCTGTTGCAGGCGTGACTTCTTCAGACCAATAGATGGTGAGTCCGCCGGGTTGATAGGACCAAAGGTCGGCTGTCCAGTCCGTGCTATTGTATGCCCAACCGCCATATCTGTACACTCTGCCTGTGCTCTCATCGTACCAGGTTGCAGGCGCTCTGCGATGCGGCATGTTCGGGGCAGGGTCGGAGTTATTGGCAATATAGACGGAGACGTTGGTCCACGACTGAGTAAGGTCGACCGAGATGGTGGGCCAGACTGCGACAATCAGCCTCGTCAGGCCTTGAATTGACCGGGAGAGTGTAAACGCAACGATAGAAGGATCTCAATGTCCCGTTAGTCCATTCCCATGCCTCTCCATCCGATATATAGAGCCAGTCGCCAACGACAACAGCTGAGAAATCAGTAATAGATCAACCAAATGCGGGGAGACTGCAGGTACAAGATTGCCAGAACCATTGAGAGATGGTGGGTCGCAACAGCCCGCCTTGGACGCTGGAGACGGCTAGCAAAGCCGTGAGCGTTATCCAGAACATCGTGTATTGGGTCAACGTGGAGCGCTTGGTGAGAGGGGATTTCCTGAAGGAAAGCAAACTGACAGCCGAACGACCTCGTACTGGAAGGCCGCGAAGCTTTATTTCCAGTCGCCTGCACTCGGCTTCTGCGGCTGAGAGGTAATGAGGTGCTGTTCGCCTACACCAACATGGCAACCGTCGCAAAGACACGGCGACCGCGTATTGGGTGAGGCTTGCGCCACATGATGTTGATGCATTTTTTGGCCCCTAGTACACCCGTATTTGTTCACTTGGGCAGAAGGTAAAGTCTTGCCAGATGTATAGACATCGGTCGTTATTGGCCTCTGATTTTTGGATTGATGCTTGTGCTGGAGCCGTCCCGGTGTCCTGTTCTAGACCAGCTGCTAATTGGCACTTGTAGGAAGCTAAGTCCCGTTTTGGGGACTTGAACATCAGACGATGCAAACTCAATACCAAATTCTTTGTGGAGGCTGAGTGCCCAGACCATCTATCTTCATTTTGAGCGCAGAGTTTGGCGAAGCGTGCCGAAAGCCGCAGCGTCTGCTCTCGTGTGCAAGTACTCGGACGAGTATATGCAGATAAAGAAACTTGTTCCCATCTTCGCGATCGCTTGGCTGCTGATTGGTTTTCGGGCTTTCACCGGTCTGGCTATTCGATCGCTTACAGAGTCCCAGGCCCCGGGCCCATGCACGACGCTCGCTCTTCAAATTTGGAGGTCCAGCCTTACCATCGATCCGAGTGGCAACGTGGTTGGCTTGCTACCATTCTCGAGATAATGAATCAGGGGAGGTGTGTAAAGATCTCATCGGCTAAATTCACCGTAAATTGTGTGATCTGTGCGGACACCACTGGATGAGGTATCTGCCTCTTTGTTCTTCCAAAGCCAGCCTCGAGGCAGGCTTTTTGTTAGTGGTGTTCCTTTCCTTCTTTCTGGTCCTTGTAGTAGATGTGTATGCTGGGACGTTCAGAGTCAACTTAGGGTCTCGATATGTGAGAAACGGGGGGATCAAGGCATTCCCGGGAGACCGCTCTGTCTCGGGCGACAGGAGCACAGCGACGAGGAAGCTCGCCATGACGGCGCGTAGGAGGAGTTCATTGCGGGGACAAGAGCTTTATAGGACTGAAAACTGTACAGTAATGACAAGAAGAACGGTGATCTGTCGAAGCTGCTTACAATACTGCGTGTGTGATGGCTGCTTTGTGAGGCGGAAGCCATGCTGATGTGCAAGTTTCTCCGCATTCGAAGAAATCATTGTGGGTCTCCGCAGAAACTTGCATCATCTTGCACATGCATTTTGTCGCTGCACTCACCATCCTCCAACACCCCATCTCCCAAGGACGACCACTTCTGTCCAACCAGGATTGCTTTCATCCGCCGGCAGCCATGGTCTTTCAATCATGATAGAGGCCTTCGTCCAGGGCATGCGCCATGTCTCGAGGATTGCCGCTTGCGCGCCAGCGCGGACGACAAAAGTCGTCGACAGGCTACCAGCGTCCTTCGACCGAAGCTTCAGATATCACGTACCCAGACGGATATCAAACCTAACGGCCCCAAAAAACACTGCAGGCCAACTGCCCCAGCCCGTCAAGCTTCCTATTAGGATTTGGTCGCCTCGGGTCGATATTCCCGCAGGTCAAGGTCCGCAGATCAGGTCGAGGTCAAGTCTAGCTTGGATTGGATCCTTTTCTATAAAAGATGGACAGGCATCAGCACTTGATTTCTCAGGACTGCAGAAGGGTCTAAAGTACACCAGAGGCAGCCGGCATAGAGAATCGCCCTTGATCCGGTGGCGGGAATTCCATACTACACTCTTCGCAAGACAAAAGGCAGAGAAAGAAAGAGAGGGACACACAAAACAAAAAACGGGAGAAGATGCCTCAAAATCAGCTTCAGCAAAGGAGAATGCCTCGCAGGCTGGCTCAGGACAGCAGCATTCTTACCAAAGTCGTTTCTACGATAGACTGCATATGCCGCAGTTTCACCGTCCCACAAAGGAAGAACTTCTGGCTGCGGCCACGGGTTTCTGGTCTCGCCTCAAGGTACACTTTAAATGGTTCACAATCAAAAGCACAAGACCTTTCAATCTGGATGAAATTGTTGGATTCATCTCATGGATCGCGTTGGGCCATGTCATCTGGATTGTTGTCGGTACTACGACTTTCGTGTCTCTGGCCATCCTAGCCATCAACACTGTCTTTGCGCAAGAAACCCTTGCTGGCTGGATCGGGAATTATCTGACAAAATCATCCGGTCTTCAAGTCGTTTTCGAGTCCGCCATTGTCCCCAAATGGGGTGACGGCGTCATCACATTCAAGAACGTCTTCGTCTCCAGAAGACCCGGCCGGGTGCAATCCCGCGTCACCAAGGGATCGCCCGAAGCGGCCGCTCAAGCATCGTCGGCAGAAGACCCCGTGCCTCCAGAAGAGCAGAATTATACACAGTTCGACATCACAATTGGGGAAGTCAATGTCACCCTGTCCTTCAGCAAATGGTGGAACTCTAAAGGCCTGCTGCAAAATGTGGAAGTTAAACACGTAAGGGGAGTCGTCGACCGGACCCACGTTTTCGCAACCGGTGAAGAGATTGATCCAAAGTCGCTTCGGCATGAGCACAACCCTGGGGATTTCGAGATCGAGTCCTTTAAGATCGAAGATCTTTTACTGACAATCCTCCAACCTGAAGGGTTTCGACCGTTCCCCGTCAGTATCTATAACGCCGACTTGCCTCGCCTGCGGAAGCAGTGGCTGTTCTACGACTTTCTCTGTGCCAACAGCATCACGGGTGAATTCGACAAATCTCTTTTCACCATCCATCCGCGGCAGACACACTCGTATACCGGCACAAAGCTTAACGATCCCGAAGATCCGTCCAACGAACCTTGGAAAAAACAGTCACGCATTCGCATTGATGGCATAAACATCGACCATATAAACCGTGGGGTGGCTGGGCCCTTGTCTTGGATTCACGAAGGCAATGTCGACATTGTGGCGGACATTATGATCCCCAACGACAGCGAGGAATCCGTTATGAAAGTCATGACTGATTTTTATGAACGGATGGAAGCGACCTTGACATCGAGGAAACATCTGGAGCAGCAGCGTTATGGCGAAATTTCTCCCGAGGATGAGCCCATTGCCTCCGGTGGAGTCGTGCTAACAACTCCAAACTCTCAACCGGTAAGAGAAGAGGACAAGCGCTTCATAGTGATGGATCTCCGCATTCACTTGAACGACGTGCGCGCCGTCGTCCCCATTTTCACACGCGATCTATCATATATCAACAACGCCCTGATCCGTCCCATTGTCGCCTACATCAATTCCCGGAGAACGTTCATTCCGATCAACTGCCGGGTCGTCAAGCGTCTCTCGGATTTTGACGGGAGCTGGACTGTCTTTGATTCCGGGTTGATGGATGATCTGTCGGCGGAAGTGTACGATGCGTTTGCAAGAGATGTCACAGACGAGCAGGCACGTTTGAGACGGTTCAAGAAAGTTGGACTATGGAGTTTGCAGCTTGCTGTACAGGCTATCTTCCTAGTAAGTTCAATCGCTTGATTTCTTCGCTTGGGTTGGATCAGCTTTTAGCATACCGTCTCGCGAAGCGTCGACTAATTGAGTGATAGGGGATGGCTGGGAACATTGCTTGATCCGACACGACATTCACGAACAGTTTCCACTCTATACCACATGTCTTGAGGTTGCGTGCGTTGTAACAAAAGTGAATATTGGGTTTAGACGTTGCTTCGACGTTCGGAGGGTCAACCTAACTCCCTCGATGGTGTAAGGCGTCAAAAGTGTACATATTTTACATCCCTCTCCGGCACGTTGAGACATTGCAGTTTTTCGCCTCGAGATGGCGTACACTGGAACCACTGAGCCGCTCGATCATGAAGCAAAAAGTTCCATTGCAACCAAGTCATGTCCCTGTTTTGGAGTATCTAGTGTTCCTGCTCAGCTTGGTCCTTTCTCTCCTTGCGCTGATATCCCTATGAATAAGGCAAAGTCACTTGAATCTCACCCTGCGAACCCATTCGCGGCACCCTGGCTCGAAATTATCTCGCGTCCCGAGGTGATATTGTCGAGTATATCAATACCTAGGCCTCTAGGCCCCACATGGTGTATTGCTGGCAACAAGTTCCCCTCATGTGGGCCGCAATACAAAATCCAAGAACGCTGCCCCGCGACAATATTGTGTCGAGGAAGCCTTTATCCCACGAAAAGACGAAGAGTAGAGTTGATTCTGTATCCAGCTAGATTGACCGTGGACACTCCCGAGACTTGAGATCCACGGAGTTCGCCATGGCACCGCCTTTTCGAGCCGATCAAGTCGGATCGCTACTCCGTCCGCAGAGCCTGGTCGAGGCGAGGAAGAACTCGAATCTCCAGGGCGCGCGACTCAGAAACGGCCCTGTCGCCCAAGAAGAGGACGATGCCGCGGCAAATCTCACTGCCGGTTCTTCCTCCAACGAAGCCGATCCAATAGAGGTCCTACGCACCGAGCAAGCAAAGGCCATCAAAGACGTCGTCGGCGAGCAACTCTCGCGACACATCCTGCCCATCACCACGGGAGAATATGAGCGAGGGATCTTCTACGGCAACTTCTTCGAGTCCCTCTCCGGCTTCGAGGTGCGGTACACGCCCATGGCCGACTTCAAGGTCGACTTCCCCACGAATCGCCCGTTGATCAAATGGGGCCTCCCCGGGCGCGATGCGGGGTTCCCGACCTCGAACAAGGTCACGCTCGAGAGGTCCGCGTACCTGGACGACTGGTTGTATCTCCGTAGCCTCCTGCCCGAGGAGCGGTGGAGGGATGCGAAGATGACGGTCCCGCCGCCGGGCTGGTGGCATATCCAGCTCAAGGAGCCCTTTGACCGCAGCCTGTATGAGAACGATGAGGCGCTGTTACGGGACCTGAGCGCCGCAGTCAGGAAAGAGATCTTGACGCTGTACGAGCATGGCTTGAGGGTCGTGCAGGTGGATGATCCCAATCTCTCGTTCTTCTGCGACGAGGAGTGGATCCAGGCGTGCCAAAAGGAAGGCGTCGACCTCGAGCGGCTGCTCGAGCTGTATATCACGTCCCACAACGACGCCATCAAGGACTTGCCCTCGGACCTCCATGTCGGAATCCACATCTGTCGCGGAAACTTCCCCAACGGCGTCGGCCTCGCCAGTGGCAGTTACGAGCGGATCGCGAGGAAGCTGTTCAACGAGACCGGCTACAAGTTGTTTTATCTCGAGTTCGACAGTCCCCGGGCCGGCGATTTCACGCCTCTCAAGTACCTGCCGTCAGACAAGGCGGTGGTCTTGGGCGTGGTGACGACCAAATCCGCAGAGATGGAGGATCTGGACGAACTGAAGAAACGCGTCTATCAGGCCGCGGACGTGGTGGCGGAGGGCCAGGGGAATGGAAGGACAAGAGAAGACGCGCTCCGCGACAACCTCGCAGTGTCCCCTCAATGTGGCTTCGCGAGCGACCATTCTGAAGGAGGAGTCGGGATGACCAGAGAGCGCATGTGGGAGAAGCTGGGGCTGGTCAAGAGGCTATCCGAGGAGATCTGGCCGGGGTGGGATAAAGATCGGAAATAGAAGGCCTTTATCTCTCGGTAAGCAATCTTGTATGGTTCAAGCCCAGTATGGGAATCGGACTCTTGAGCCTACGCAATGGAAAACTAGGATGAGAAAAGAAACAAAATTCAAGCAACTGCGGCACCCGAAGCCTGTCAATTTTCTTCAAATATCTAGGATCCCTGCCTGCTTGTTGCCTCTGAGACAGGATCGATCGAGACGGCGAAAGTATATCCCAATCGATCGTTGATTAATTGCCAGTAAAATTTGGCCCTGAGCGTGCCATACCTGCTCGTTATAAATCTTTGAGAGTATTGGTCAGTTCCCGCCAGAAATCTCATACATTTCTGACTATCGCGGAAACACCAACTCGAGACTGATGTAATGCCAATCTCAGAGAAGTCTTCGCCAGTGAACTGCCACTCTTTATGTCGAAGTATCCAAGAAGAATCCATGAGGTTATCAAACCGCTTCTTGGAAAGACTATCTGGCTTCGGACATTCCAGCCTCTTGGGGACTTTTCGACTGAGGAAGACCAAGCACGCAGGCCTGAAAAGAGAGTCGAACCCAAGCTTTATAGCGACGCAAGCAAAACCAGATCGCGCCGGCCGCCGGAGTACGAGCACCCCAGCGGTCCCGCAGCACCCGTCAGGCATCTCGATGGTTCTGTCTTGGGGATTCCATCTCCGCGCGTAGACGACGAGATCTTCCCATGTTGAACAATCACCCAGGCGAAACCCATAAAGCCGACGTTCCGGAGTCACCTTGATACACAGCTCCCGTGAAATCAAAAGCCTTTGATTTCGAAAGCACTGGTTCATGGGATGCTCCAACAGGACGTCAGCCAAATCTCTTTTCACGAACTGGATGTGGCTTCTGCCGTACGAGAGCCTCCCGTATTGACCTGAATCCGAGAGGAGAATCCCAACTTTCTTCTTGGTATTCCGATCGTGACATGACAGAAGCGCAAGATAAGTGTGCATTGACCAAATAATTAGCGGTAGTCCAATTTCCAAGCCCATATTCGTCATTGAGTAGGGCGTGTCTCGATTGGGCGAGTGACCCTTGACGATATTGGCACAGCCTTCGAAAAGTCTGGTGAGTCTGCAAGGAGAGATGTCTTTTCAAGAGGAGCGGGGAGGGTCTTCCAGGCGAAGATGGAGTGGTCAGAATTTCGCTTGATAATCTCCTCTTGAAGTCTTATGAATGCTCTCTCCCCCTCCCCATAGAGCATCGGCATGTTGACTTCAAAGATACCAAGAAGGCAGTAAGCAACGTCCTCCTTCCGCGTGGTTTTCCTGTTGGATGCCTAAGCCATTCTCTGTGCCACCGAATACGTGTTCAGATATAGCGAGTCCAACGCCCTCATTTCCATACCTGTTGCGGCCGTGATCCATGGCTGCAGCGAGAATTTTGTCCCGATATACCTCCACGAACAGTCAAAGAAATCCACTTTCGATGGGGCAATCAGTTCCTGTAACGTCCACCCTCGAGTAAACCATGCGCTTTGTCCGAAGCTCTTGCCAACACCAGCTTCATTTAGTGGAAGGTGAACGTCCGAGAGGTACGCGTAGCATTGTTTCGAATTCTTGTACCACGCATACATGGAATTAATAGCTTCTGAGAGTTCGGAGCTGCTATCCTTGTTGATGCAGCAAGTGTCGACCCAGATGTATCGAAGACCGTCACGTTGTGCCTGCCGAGTTGAATTGCAAATTTTTGCGTAGCCTTGCTTCTCCGTGGGGTACCCGTTTCTCGCATCCTCAAACAGCACTTCACCCTCTTCCCACCTGTGAGAGAGAATTGCATCTTCGGGGATCTTGTCGTCGTCGAAGGATTCCAGGGCTAGAGTCTGAGTGTTGATCAGCCGCATCTTGAGATTGCCCGCTGCGAGACTGATGGGGACAGCCCGATCAGAGCTCAGTAACGATGTGACATGTCCAATATGCGCAATTCAAAGGGCATGAAATGCGGCAGAAGCTAATTCTACATAAACACAAAAGCTTCAATCAACGGCTTGAAGCCACGCAAGTGGGGGACAAGAGATGGCACTTTAATGAAAAGGAAGGAGAGAAGGACACGGTCCGTCGAACTCAAGTGTCTGGCGAGGCTGAGAACTGACGACAGCCTCGCGGGCGCCAGCGCAAGCGTGGGTCACGGACCCGAAACCCCACACTCATTCGACCCCACCTCGTCGCCCAATCCCCATAAGGACCAGAGTGACGACCCCGCTTTTCTCGCCCAGGCCGGATGCAAATTTGGCCCAGGAAAGACGTGATGGGGATACGAACTTGCGGTTCCTCAGCCTACTTCTTCCTCCATTCACGTACAAGTATGACTTATCAGTCTGATGGTAGGCCTTTCCACCTTCTACTGATTGCGCAATTTTAGCGGCGAACACAATATCGAGCTGAAGTGTTGCGAGTGAAGGTAGGATGGCGCAACCAGGCTCGAGAATGCCTCTAGACGACGGACTCGTCGAGTATATCTTCTTCTGCTTATCACCTCCCCTTAAGGTCATGTATTCAGATCGTAGACGCTCACAAATGCCTTAAAAGGCTATCCCAATCTCCAGAATATTCTCTCAACTGGTGAGCGATCAGGAAAGTTTCATCTCTTATATTTCCGCTTATTTGAAGGATCATCTAGATAATTTGGACTCGTGTCCGCTATTCAAGGAACTGATTCGCTAGTCTAGTTTTCTCAGGAAGAAAGAATGTCTGCCAATCCCAAAGAAGTGGACGCAGTTGTTGTCGGTGGAGGATTTGGCGGTATCCGTCTCGTCAGCCTTCTTCAGGACAGGCTTCATTTCCAGAATGTCGTCGCAATTGAGAAAGGCAGCGCTTTAGGGGGGACCTGGTATTGGAACCAGTACCCTGGCTCTCAGACTGACACCGAGAGCTGGGTCTATCGCTTTTCGGACGACCGTGATCCGCCTAGATGGAACACGAGATATCTAAAAGCCGAGGATCTCCAGGAGCAAATCATTGACACGGCCAAAAAATCCAACGTCTTGGAGAACTACATCTTCGAGAACGAAGTCGTCTCGGCGCACTACGACGCGACTAGCAATCGCTGGCTCGTTACGACCGACAAAGGACTCCGGTTCTCTGCGACTTACTTTCTCACTGCTCTTGGGATTCTAACTAACCCCTATATACCGGACTTTCCTGGTTTGAACTCCTTTAAGGGTCTCTCTTTTCACTCTGCCAGGTGGCCTAAAGGTCTCGACGTCACGGGAAAGCGTGTGGCGGTGATTGGCACTGGACCGTCCGGAAGCCAGATCACCGGGTCCATCCATCACCTCGTGAAACAGATTACCGTTTTCCAACAGCGAGCCCAATATATAGTGCCCGTCAATGATCGACCGGTGACCGAAGAAGAGAAAAAGGAGATCTATGAGAACTACGATAAGATCTGGGATACCGTGTTCAATTCGCTTTTTGCGATGGGGTTTGCAGAGAGTAAGAAGTCAGCGCTCGAAGTGTCAGAAGCAGAGCGGAGAGAAGTATACGAACGTATCTGGAACAAAGGTGGGGGCTTCCGGTTCTTCTTCGAAACCTTCAACGACCTCGGAACAAACGTGGCTGCGAACGAGACCGCCGCGGCATTTGTTCGAGAAAAAATTGCGGAGATTGTCAAGGACCCAGAGACAGCAAAATTGCTTCAGCCCAAGGGACACTATGGTGGACGTCCGCTTTGCACACAAGGGTATTATGAAGCGTTCAACGAACCGAATGTCTCTCTTGTCGACATCTCCAACAATCCCGTTGCTAAAATCACTCCAACTGGCTTGGAACTGCGAGACGGAAAGACCTTTGAATTTGACATCATTGTGTACGCCACTGGGTTCGACGGAGTCGACGGTGCCTACCACAACATTGACATCACTGGACGCAACGGGCTCAAACTGATAGATGCGTGGAAGGGAGGAGCGAACGCTCTGTATGGTGTCAGCGTGTCCGCGTTCCCCAACTTTTTCACCGTTACAGGACCTGGGGGCCCCTTCGCGAACATGCTCCCCTCAATCGAGTTGCAGGGTGATTTCATCGTCAAGCTCATCCAAGAGGCAAACACGAGGGGGGACAATACAGTGGAGGCCGACGCAAAAGCCCAGGCCGAGTGGGCCCAAACCGTCCAGCAGATCTCCAAGGCGACTGTCTTTGACAAAGTCAAGTCATGGATCCAGAACGATAACGTGGAGGGCAAGAAGAAATACAGCGCCTTCTTCCTGGCTGGTCTGCAGAACTATATCGCCAGGCTGGCTGAAGAGACCGAGGCAAAGTATCCATCGTTTGTGTTTGCGAAGTGAGGTGAATCGGAACACGATCAAGAGTGCTTAGACTTGACATGGTCGAAGCAGCAAATTGAGTAGCAACCACGGTGAAGCCGCAATCCGGCGGGCTCTGTCCAGAAATACCTGATAGAGTCTGGCACAAAATAGATACCAACTTACATGTAGCCATAGACCCTCGGGAGCAGTGCCACTGACTTTTCAAGTCGGATCGGGCCGCTAAATCGCCGATTCTCTGCATGGCTTGGCATCTCAGCCTCACCTTCGACGTGCCTCGAATGCATCTTGCACCCTACTTTGTACATGGGGAAAGCATCAGTCACTTTGGCTATTTCAACGATTTGCATAAGATATCTTTACTCGAAGGACCTCCGTCCCGAAGATTTGATACCAACGCCACTATGAATGACGCCTCTCGGATATGGAAACCCCTCGACACGTCGCGGCGAGAGATCAAGCTGGAGATCAGGCTGCTGATTCTGGCGCCTGACAGAGATCGACATGCGGGCCCTCGCGGAAAACTCATAACGGTGTCATTGGAACAGCAATTGTTCTATGAAGCTATATCCCATGCGTGGAGCGGCCTGTCTGAGCCTAATAATATCCACATCAACAATACCGAATGGCCGATCACAACTGAGGTCTTGATGGCTCTGCAACAGTTGTGACACACGGTAGACGAAAAATTATTTTGGTCGACGCTCTGTGCTCATATCCCTATCGAACCGCAATGAAATACCTCAGAATTCTGAGGTTTGCACCTCTGTTTTGTGAGGGGTTTCATTACAAGCACTGACTCATTTGCGTCTTTGGAGACCTAATTTCGGCACCTCCAGCATTCGGTTAAACATACCTTCGAGTAGAAATATGTTTCAGCTAAGCCTCAATAGGCTTGGCTCATCCCTGCCCCTTCGCTGCTGCCTAGAATTCATTACAAAATATACTAGTCCTCAAGGATCTTGGTAACAACAACATATGATATTGCTCGCTTTAGATGTCAGGAATGGCTCGCCAGCGAACTATCTAATAAGTATATTGCCTATCTATAGGCGCAGAACGACAGCGATTCCGAAGCTGGAGAGCTTCAGAAGGTAGCCTACGACTCATACGCTTATATACACCTAGCCCCTTGAGGTCTTGGCACCCCTTGTTCATGACACATTAGAGTTGACGGAGGAGGTGGTGGCACTGCAGAAGAGCAAGCTCGGGGCGGATCATACTGACACGTTGGCATCGAAAAGACTTCTTGCTCATCTCTTTTCGAACGAAAATGAGGCATTATTAATATCGGAAGCTTCACGTCGGCCAAAGCATTCACAAAGTCAGGTTTCTTCAACGGGTTCGCTCAGGAAGGAAACAAGCAACTGAGTTTAGGAACTGATTGCAATCTTCTATTCTGCACGGCTAAATTAAACCCTCGCACAAGACTCGGTCTTCCAAATTGGCTTCTAAATGAAAGTGATACGACTCGCCAAAGCCCAAACAGTATGGGCAGTTCTTGCAACATTAGATCATTGCCTAGTCCCAACAGCCTGTTTTCTAGATTATTTCATCACACAGTTTCACCCGTCTCAAGGCGACTGTTGACCCATGTTGCTGTAACCACGGGGATAAGTGGAACAGGCCTGGTTCTTATAGGCCATAGCTATGCAAGGAACTGTCAAAGCCGTGTTTGCTATTTGCATCAACAAGCGTTCTGGCTACTTGGCACAACCCATCACGTTGCACAGCATAAATTATGCAGCATCTGTCAATCGAATTCTAAGGAAGGATACCGGCAGAAAACACGTTCAATCGGTGAGTTGCACTACGTCACTTTCATTTTCTGTTCTCATGCACAGTGTTCTCATATACCGCGGCAGATACATGAAAGGGCAATAAAATTCACATGTCAAAAATGTGGAAAGATATTTTATCGACCGAATGGTTTCCAATTCAGCAGATCCAAGGCAAAGCTGCTTACTTGACTTATAGGCATCTTGATGCAAAATGGGGTTGTGATGAATAGATCTGGCACATCGCCGAATGTTGGCACTTCAAAGGAAAATGATACTGATCGTTCTTCGCGGAAATGTTCTTGTATTTTGCCTACAGCATCTGGTATCAGCCAGTTGTTTTAATGCCGTCGCACAGACAGCGAAAGCCGAGCAGCGTCGGGCCGCCGTACATTCCATGTGCTGAAGAACACCAACAAAGGGCGCGATTGAGACTGGGTTCGTCTTGATACACTTCTCCCCCATTCCATTTACTGTCAACCGTATGGATTTTTGCCATTCTTGAACAACCGTTAGCTATGACCAAAAGGTAGCGTGGAGACCGTCCCTGGCAAACCACCTTGAAGCAACGATTCTATCATTTTTCATCCCGAGGCCAGGGCTTCCAACCTCTATCTTCATTCATCTTAGGATCTTCCGACTCGGTGGCCGTTTCCATCCACTGCTCAAAGGCTCCTTTGTGTGCCTCACATGAGACTTCCCACATTAGGAGATAAACATAGCCCTTCGTCATGTCAGGCCGATGCCTTCTTGGATGGGACAAGGGCGTCCTTTAAATCCTTTGTCCATTGACGAACCGGCTTCCGCCCATGTCTGAGCTCTTTGTACGACGTCTTCAAAGGCTCCGGAAGCAGGTTTGCGTCCAGAAGCCCATCATCATCGATGTATTCCTCCACGTATACGATCATTGCTATTCCAAACGCACCTATATGCTTCTCTGAATCACGCGCGTACAGACGCATAAAGGCTTCCAGCAGGATGTGAGCCTTGGGAACGACGACTGCATCATGGTCCAACTTGAAGACACCGGAACCTCGGCCGGGTCGCTGGGCGGGAGAATAGTCTGGTCGGATGCGAGGGCGAAATGCGGGGGAAAAACGTGGGCATCTTCGGGCACAAGAAAGAGCTGTCGAATGGTAACAGGAACCAAATAGTCTGTGTTCGCAGTTTTTCGGATGAGAACCAGTCTCAGATTGAAAAGGTAATCTTGTCGTTTGCGCGACTAGCAGTTTCGCTACTGGTTGGCTAAAGCCTGTTGGGACTTGGCGGTTGTGACAGGCGGGCCTGAGGCCCTTTGCTTCCTTCAAATCTGCAATCAAACTCAGCAGACACTCCAGGCAATGCCGCTTTGAACAAAAAAGCGAAGGACCGACATCTCGGATCTTTCAGAATCGTTCGTGATATCCATTGCTCGGGCTCTCATCAAGGATCAGGAGCCCTGTGTGCTCTTGGGCCAACTATCTGCTCAACGTTCATGGCATACGATCAATTATGGGTGTAGGTATCCCTCAACCAGCAAATTCCTGAACCCGAACTAATGCCGGGCGAGTCAATTGACTTTGTCATTCCAGATGCCCGTCTGGCAATTGGTATCAAGACTCTCACTCAGTTCAAGAGCCTCATGACATGTCCAGACAATAAAGTCTGCCCTTCAATCTCGAGAGAGTGGCAAACGCAGCCACCAGCATTTCACATGCACTTCAAAGACGCAGAGGTCACCGTGGCTCTGTATCCACAATCCGCGAGTATTGGGATTGGGAGACGCAGAGGGGGATGGTGTCCAGGAAAAATGCAAAGGGGGAAGGCGTACATGGAGGAACGGATGGCGGAGTGGGGGAGGCGGTTGGGGGAGTTTTGTGAGAGTATGGGTGGGGCGCTGGAGAGGAGGGATTTCGTTGGGCAGAGCGCATGATGGTGGGGAGGGTGTGGCGAGAGATACGCCAAGGGATCACAGGACGGAGAGTCGACAGTGGTGATGGGGAGATCCTAATGGCGGTGAAAGAGAAGTGAGACACGGGTGCGAGGATTTTGACGGCAATAACAATCAATGCAGGGGATGTTGCCTGAATAGTAAATGGACAATGAGGACGACGAGTCAATGACCAGAGAGAAATCAATGATATTGATGGCGATGCATAATGAGCTCCGAATTGCCAGGTGGCTGAATCTATCAGACGGAGCGAGAGGCTATCCTTCCGAGCGCCTGTGAGAGTCTGAGAACATGGCTTCTGCACTCCCAGCGTCTCCCTCAATGGCACAGGGAGGTTGGTACCCAGGAAGGGAGAAGGAAAGAACGAGGCAGAGCTCAGCAGGGTCGACTCCGTAGCTTGAGATTGCCATCGATTCTGGAACTTATTATCAGGCTTACTTGGACATCCGTCAATTTGCATCCAAATACCCTTGACGTTGACGAGGCGAGAGTACATATGACAGCGAGATACAATAATCACGTCTAAACCGCTTATACTTGCTCGCCAACTATTCAATGCGGGCGCTCTCATGCAGTTTTCCACGGTTTCGAAGGTTCGGAACAATGCGCATCTCGTTCTCCGTTCGGGATAGTCTCTTTCTTGCTCATTTTGAATAGCAGCTTATCATGCTGTCGGACCTCACACCAAGGGAGCATCCTACTGAAGCATCCACAAGACTGGTCGCTCCCCTACACCTCCTCTGACAGTAGTGATCGGGTCAAGCGTACCATCGCCACCCGCTTATCGCACGCAGCCAGCATGGATGGATCGGGCCTGCGTACCATCGAGTTCGATTTCTGAGAAGTTCATTCCGGCTTGCCTTTATTCTCCAGGGTGACGTTCTCGTTCTCTGTGTCTGAGGGATCTGAATCTCCAAGAGGGTCGCGGTCCGGCATTTCTGCATTTTTGGGGACTTTCGCGGTCATCATGGTCTCGAGGAAGGCTTTGCCCCACTTGGCACTGCTCTCAAGTTAGTAGTCTGAGGTCACGGAAAGTGAAAATAACGTTCGTGGATTATTCACAAGTAAGGGGGAATGAGAAACTTGTAAGACGAACCTTGTCCAAGTATCCACGACTTTCATAATTCCTTGGTGCCTCTCAGCTCTTTCCTCCTCACTCATCTTGAGTGCCACATTGATGCTCTCCGCAAACCTCTGCGTATCCCAGGGGTTGAATGTGACCATCGAGGACGGAGGTAGCGTCTTTATGGCTCCGACATAGTTGGACATCATGAGAATACCTTTGTTCTCCTCCTGACAAGCGGCGTATTCGTAGCTTACAAGGTTAAGACCGTCTCGAATGGACGATATTATGCAGATGTCCGACGCTGCGTACAACGCTGCGAGTAGCTCCGGCTTCACTGACCGATAGAGATAGTGCACAGGCGTATGCTTAAAGGTTGCTGCAAGCAGTGAGTCAGCGCAACCTGGCACGACTCCAATCTAAGATCAGGGGCAACCTACCATGTTTGCCATTCACGTTTCCAACAAGATGTTCCACTTCCTGCCTCAAGATTCGATACTCCGTCACTTCAGCTCTTGTGGGGATCGCCAGCTGCACAAGAACCACTTTGCCTACCCACTCAGGACGATCGGTCATCAGTCGGTCAAACGCCAGTATTTTTTGTGGAATGCCTTTGATATAATCAAGGCGATCAACGCCTAGAAGGATTTTTTGACCTTTGAACTGATGCTGTAGGCTAGTAAGTTCTTTCTTCGCGGCTTCCTCTTGGAGCCTCTCCCGCCACTCATCTGCTTCGATCCCGAGAGGGAAGCCGTGTACAATGACTTTCCTTCCTTCCCAGTGGAGATCATTCGGTGATCTCGGAACCCCTGGAAGTACCTTTCGTGCACTGTCCAGGAAGTCTTTCGCGTACTGGTTTGTATGGAAACCAACTACGTCACACAAGAGTAAGCTCTTACAAATCTCCTCTCGGAAGGGTAGGATGGTGAAGTAGTCTTCAGTGGGAAATGGGGTATGCAAGAAGAATCCAATCTTGAGGTTCCTTTTCCTTTTCAGTCGTTGACGGAGGATGCCAGGAAGTAGAAGTAGATGATAGTCGTGTACCCAAATCATGTCGTTGTCCTCGACGTATGGGAGAATATTGTCCGCAAATATCTCGTTGACTTCTTGGTAGGCCTGGGCCCACTCAGTTTCCGAGCCAGCTTTCTCCGGCATACGGTGTAGTAAAGGCCATAGGATTGAGTCTGCACCTGATCAGTATGTCCGCTCGTGATTAGTGATGGTGTGGACGACTTACTGGAGAAACCATTATAGTGCTTCTGGGCCAGGTCTTCCGACAAGAAGATGGGCACAGCATTGAACTTGTCCTGCAAGTGTCTCCGTACCTTGTCCTTATCGTTGCGATGAATGTCAATCCCCGGCCAACCAAACCATTTAAAGTCGACGACTTTGCCAAGTCCTTTTAGGCCAGAGACGAGTCCGCCCGAGGATATACTGTACTCGAACTCGCCATCATCTTTGGGCTTTATGGACATTGGTAACCGGTTGGCCACAACCAGGACGCGGCCTTCAAAGTCGGGGTCGATGCCGTCCGCGCTATTGGAAGCCATTCTGTTGATTAGCGTTGAAGTGGACTGGAGCCTGCTTTTCGTACTGTGAGTCAAGTTAGAGTTCTGGACAGCACTTTCGGTTGACACGCTGCGAAAATAATGTGCTTGGAGGCATATTATAGCTTGACGTTCTGGGCTTTAGGCGAATCCAACTATGATGTCAGAATAAACAACATAAGCCAAGGACCTGATATCTTCGGTTTCGTGCATGTGGCTTGGAAACGTGGAGTAAGCTCTGGGAGATAGGAGGACAGCACAGAAGGCCGAAGGAGCTGAATTCAGCTTGAGCATGGAATCGGCGGCCAGATGTCTCATTCGGCATCACAAAACGATGCTGCTGTCTACCTGTCGCGCTGCTGCAGTTCACGGATATTACACTCGGATGTCAACTGGAAGAGTCCTACTGAATCCTCAGGCGTTTTTCGAGGAAGCAAAGTGCCACTGCGACCAGTGATGGCCGTGCGATGGGGACATGTGGGCAGAAACAGGTTGTCCTTAGATGGTTTGGAGTTGGATGATTTGTGCAGGTTGACAGGGCAGGTTGAGCCGTCGGAAAAGTGGGTGAGGCGAGCTGGCCCCGGAACTTTTACCCTCCACTGAAACGATAGGGAGTGGCGCCAAACCTGCAGCTAGAACGCCGAAGCTCCAGAGTAGTGAAGGCTGCTGGAAAATCCATCCGTCCTGTAAAGAAAAAGTGACGCAAGTTAGAAGTCTGCGGTAAGCTGTGGCAACTGCCACCGCACCTTGCCGGTCATGCCGGACGAGGCTGCCAGCCTGGCCACTCCCACAGGGTTTGGATTTGCATATCATGCGAAAATTGGGTGATTGTCCTCGCTATTCATTTTCCAGCTTTCATGAGTTTAAATATACATGGCCTTACGTAGGCATCGTCTGCATCTACTGCAAGAGAGCATCGAATCTCAAACTAATTGTACAAATTCTCCTTGTGCTCATCATCCTGCAAGCGCCACATCCAGGCTCCCAAGTATCTGCATGGGAACGATGAGGCTGAAATTGTGGAGAATCTTGAGTACCCGAGGAATGTGACATCGCCAGAGTATTGACACGTTGAAACTCGATGTCGCCATGCGTATCCTCTGATGATAGGGCACACACCAGCTCCATTGAACTCATCCCTCGCAGATCCAACCCGAATTTTGATCACTCTGCTAATCGCTTCATGCTCGCATAAGTCCCAGAGGTTGAGGTACCGAACAACGATTAAATCTTGGCCGGTTCTCCTTGCGCAATGCCTTCGACGATACTCAGCCATTGCTGCGCACTTACTCGTCCCATGTCAGTCTTCAGCGCCGCTCTCTCAAGCACTCTCTCCACAGTGCCAAATCTGGGTATCCAGGTCCTTCCTTCTCCGTTTCTGACATGGCTCAGGACCATCCATCCCTGCGTGGCCATCGCTTGACGTTGGAATCCCGTGCCGGAATACACAAGTAGTTGCCCGGTGGCAGCAACGAGCAACGTTAATGCCATGGAGAACACATTCGAGGCTGTCGTGGCCGTGGGTGTCGGATCGCGCAACACCTTCGAGCTGAGCAGCTCTGGCGCTGCATACTCTCTGGTCACCGCCGATAATGTGTTCAGTGTTGTTTCTTCTAGGTCTAGTCGCGGAGAAGATGAGAAGTCTGCACACACGGGCTCAAAAGACATTCCGGTCCCAGAGCCACGCACTCGAGACAACAGAACATTGCCGGGTTTGATGTCTCCGTGGACAACCCTTGCTTCTTCAAGAAGCCAAGGCCGACGGTGCCGAATGGCGGGGCCACGGAATTGGGCATCAGAACTAGTGACAGGGTCGTCACACGCTGCGACTGGTCAGTTTGGCGGTGCGGCTGTGGAGGTTGCACTGGCTGTGGGTGAGGATGTTGTCATTTGTCGGCGCAAAGGCGACGTATTGGACCGTATCAAGAGTGCTTTGGCACCGGTTGACCCTCAAGGGGAAATCGATGTCGTTCGATCAACAGGCACCGTTGGCAGGGATGTTACAACTATCATGAGCCTAAACCTGGAATAATCGTTACGACAGGTTGCACCTCATTCATTGGAGAGTATGTGGCACATAAATGGCGTCGGTTTGGTGACTTTGTTAGGTCTTATACTGTCCCCGATGATTCACACCATCTTCAAGGGCGCATCCACATATTCGTCTCACATACCCGATTCACCTCTATATCGAACCTTGGAACTGTCACAGGACTTAGTAATCTGGTGAATTTAGTTTAGCTAGCTCCTCTACATTTGGGTCTGCCGTTTGGGGTTCATGCACTCGATTCAACAGCCCACACGATGACACTGCCAACCTTTACCTACCAGCTCTTCCATGGAGCTCGTGTCACAACCTATCGCCACCTGCTTCATTCATGCCCAGACGAAAGGATCAGGAGAAAGAGGGATGTTGGAAACGCCGGTCTCCATGGTTGAAAATGTACGTTCAACTTTGACTAATCTTCACCTCGGTCGGGTTGCGCAGTAGGACGAAACTTCGGTCTTGGACAGTAGGCATCGATTGCACTCCCTCTGGTATGATTGGTAGCAGACAAAGCTCGACGGGCAGCCTGCGAATTAGCAAGCATAGACAAATAGTTGTGGGCAATCAACTCTGCCCGTAGAACGGCCTTAGGAGTTGAAGAGCAGCGATGATTATGCGGGCGTAAGAGCACCTACGAGGTAGAAATGATCCCGGACACGCTTTCCCCGTCGAGCAGCCGCAACCAATGAACATGAAGCTCTTGCACTTCCGGAGCCTTACTATTCGCGGCCGGGTGAAAGCATCCGGGAGAAAGCGTTGTTGACACCCGCGAGTCAACAAACGGGACACTATTGTCATAATGGACGCCCAAGCATAGTGGATATTATTTAGTGTTTCTGGGGTCCGAGCCCTTTCCTTGCTTGGGTTGGTGTGTAACCATACCGGACCCTCACTACCAGTCAGCACATTCTCCTTTGCAGTCCTCATCTTATCCTCCTGCTGCAATTTCAGGCTGTGCATTCACAATTCCTCGTGGTTTGAGGAAACCCTCGACATCAGTCTTGGGCACAAGGATCGTTTCCTGCTCAACTACCCGATACAAGCCTCGAAGCTCGGGAAAGACGTCGGCAAAGTTTTGGCTGGACCAATTGGAAAGATCACAAATGTGGTTCGCGAACTCGTCAGAAACAGTCATTACCCGCGTCTCCGATTCCATGTCGATGGCCTCATCAAGCCTTCATTCCCAGTTGACACTGCATCCGAGCGTTTGGATCGCCACGATATAGTCCCGCATGTCCAGGATCAGGCCATCGCGCATCTCGGGACTAGGAGGCAAATTGAATCAGGATCAAGAACCATCAGAATGATAGTTGAACGTACAAGATCGGCAAATCAACACCGGGATGGTGTCTAACTAGCTTTTGTACGACCGTTGGTCTCATTGTCTCGGGAAGCAGCGCATACGTGTCTTCGGAGGGTGCTATTACCCACTGGCATATTCCGTCAGCTGTGTCTCTTCCGACTCACTTTTCTTACCACAGAACTGACACGCATAAAACGGGCATAGGTGAAGATGCAGGCCAAGGCTACGTATGTATCGAAGTCCTTCAGGAGCCGCATGAATTCACATGCCCATGTCGCAGGGGTGTGCTGATCCCCAGGTTGACGTTCGCGAAGATAGAGCGCGAGGTCGACTTTTGAGGATCCTAGAACAGTTTCAAGAGACTGCCCTTCTGCCAGCTGTCGACGACCATAATCGCGAAAATCAGTGTACACAGCTGCCATTGGATATCGCTCCTCGTCGAACAACAAGGGCAGAATGAGGTACTCGGGTATCCGAAGGTTGAGTATCTGCTGTTGTTGCAACGTGATTGACCCATGACTCGTCGTGATTTCTGTCGGTGGTAATGGAATCTCGCCAAATATGCTGATGCTCTCGATGATGGGAACATGGTGGTCTCTGGAACAAAAGATTCGATGCTGGTCGCTGGCATCTAAGACGCCTGGACTGGGCATGAGCATCTCAGAAAAGGTAGGGGCAATCGAATGGTCGCTCGAACCGGCAGAACTACTTCGCACTGTTGGTGGGTCTGTCTCCATGGTGTCTCTCTCGTCTAATTGGCGGCAGATTGCACGTCGCTTTTGGAGCTCTTCTCTCTGACTCACATCGTCCTCGACCTCTCCGCGACTTGTCGTTCGAGTATGGGGCCAGGTCTGGGCTTGCAGTGTTTCGACATGCTCAGGCACCTCCAGGCCAAGTCGTTGGGCAAGCTCTCGGCTATGAGCGTCTTCTTGCAACATTCTATGCACTTCGCCATCTCCGGCGCGGATTAGCTCGAATAGACGCTGCAGCAATTTTTTCTGGAGTGTCGACTCTGTTTCGGCGCGCTCGCAATGGATCTTGCGACGCTTGTCCCGAGTTGCATCGTATACACAGTTGATCTCCAAGCGGCTGCAGTTACTGCACAGGTTGCCGCCAGAGCACTATTCGGACATAGCGTTAGCAAAGTGCCACTCAGCCAGCAGCGCATTCATCACCTTGGATCTTCGAGTTTTGCAACCGAGACAAGCCATTGAGATCTTGCTGCGTTGGGACGACTCCGAACCCTGAGCTGGAGCAGAGCCTTGGGACTCTTTTCGAGGACGAAGACCCGCCATTAGCAACAGCGGACTGAACGAGATATGTACGCCATGATCTCGAACTAGATGATTTTGATGAGCTGACGTTCATCTCCGGAGGAAATTCAAGAACCAATGGACTCTCGCCCGATCTTGAACACCGTGAGAGTTGGTCACATAAGAAGAGGAGATGCGCTCTGGTGCATGTGAACCTCTCGTGTGATATTGATTACTCCTGACAATCATGATTTCGCTACACGCAGCGGACTACTTGGGAGCTGCGTAGGAAACTCACGACAAACAAGACAAATTCTCGGTAGTCCATGTCGTCACGTGCGTAAGTCCTGTGCTACGTCCTAGACCATATCGGCAATGCATATTCGAGGTTTGGAGCAATTCAGCACGTGCAGGTGGATATACAATAATGTTCTGTGCTGCAGTGTCGACAAGAAATATAGCTGGGTCGGCTGGGTGCCCAACAGTAGTAGCAGGGGACGACACATCCAAACCCTTAGGCTTCGAAGCATTGAATCGCCTCTATCGGGGGCGTGTTCAAGCGGTCAACGATGTGTTCGGCTCTATGGTATCAATATGTCCTGTAGCGATTCCGTCTCTTCCTCCACTGATCTCAAGATCTGTGTAACACTCCGGTTCCCGATGATCTGTACACCGACCCAGCAGGAGCCTCCACTATTCTGGCACAGTCAGCAAGGCAGATGTCGGTCGCCTCTATCATTGGCTTTTGCGGAGCAGATGGGAGGGCGTGAGTGACGTAGATCCCCTTGGTGGTAACAGTTTGCATAAGTTGTTCGCTCGTATAACTCAACATGTTTGGTGGCTTCAAGGTTTCCATTGACATGAGAGATTCGACAAAAGAAAATCCACCTCTCGCACCAAACAACTGAATAGGCGACCGACCTAACAGGCTCCTGAAGACGTGAGGAGTCTGGGAATATGTCCTTAACTAGCTTTAGTCTGCTTCGCGATTCATTGATTCGCACATCAAGCTTTCACAATAGTCAATGTTCATTCATGAAATGCTTGGGAGAACTCGGCATGCCTAATATCAAGCCTTGCAATAGTCGAGGCGCCGTGACACAGGTATTACCACCGCAGGTGGCTGGGCGAACTAGAAACATCTCTCGGTGAATTTTTGGTTACGATGGAGATATTCCCTGACGTCAAGTGACTTCGCTTCAATTCAAAGACTGTACGAGAAGGATGTCAGCTTGCCATAATGGCACGAGGAATGCTGAAGCGTGGCTCAAATTCGCTCGGTGCACACCTGGACCGGAACCTGTCGACTTGTCGAAACCGATTTGGACAGCTCGCTTGGAGGGTGCCGTTCACAGTCGCTTAAAGTGCGATTTGATTGGCGCGCATGCACCACGTCCTTCGTTCTTCAAGCACCCTCTCGCAGTCCTGCTATGAGCGATATCACCCACGGCTCAAGAGAAACACTCAATCAATAGCAGAAGGAAATTCGGGATGGACTAGAAGCAGCCCGAAAGAAGAAAGAACAAGATGATAGTCACTCACTTGTAGCCTCTGCGTCTAAAACCTCTCCATCTGCCAGTCTTGCTACCTCTCGTTTGTCTGGAACCCTGGGCTTGGGCTCACTGTCTATCGCGCCATCTACGGAAGAAGAACGCCAAGCCGAAACGGACACGTCTACCAAGTGATCAGGTGCCCTGTCCAGCTTGATCTACGGTACACCTGAAGGTCGGGCTCCTCAAAAAGCCATGGAACGATCTTTCTCCAAGTGCTAGCCCGAGGCAAATACGTCATTCAAATGTGTTTCACGACGTCAAGCCGATCGACCTGGTGAGCCATTGATATCCCAGAATGGCGAATGACCCGGAGAAGAAGGGTCCACTTGGTGGGAAGCTGGAGGACAGAAGTCGGCGAATGCGAAGCTTTCGGTAAATTGGTTCCCATGTCGAGGTGTTTGTGCGAATCCATCATCGCAGTCGATGTCTCGGAGTATCAGCGCTACCCTGGCTACCACACCTCATTGCACAGTATCCAACAATTCCGGCTTTCGAGAAGGAATTGAACTCCATGATCACGTCCAAGAAAATCGACCTCATGCAAGAATTCTCATTCTGGCCCTCCACTCCACTCGAAGAGTTGGCGGTCTATTCGAGCTTCGATCGTACACTCTGCGCCCTGGAAATCCCTTAGGATGAGACACACATAGGCGGAAAGGACTCAAGGCGCGTCGGGAAGTCATGGAAAGGGGGCGAACCTGGTTCGTACGTATTGGAGATCTGAACACTGTGCATCATCTGTGGCAGTTCGCTGATTTGGAGGAGCGAAAGCTGAGACGAGAGATGTCGTGGGGCATTGAAGGCTAGGGCGATACTGTGCACAAGACAGTGCCGCTGATTCAGAGCATGAAGAGCAAGATCTGATTCCGATGCCGTGGAGTCCTGTCGGCTAAGAACATGCTGGTCTGGAGAAGTGAGACTCGGCCTCAGCAATTGGGAAACAGCTGAGACATGAGCCTATGGAGCTGTCGAGTGAGGAAGGACTGAAGTTCACTCGAGGAAACGAGCAAGCCGCAACTCGGCTATCGCAGGGCACAGCTGAGTCGATACAAAGGCCAAACGCAGACCGACTTGGGGCCACACATTTGGACAGGACGGCGTCTATGCATAAGTCTGTGGCAAAGTGACAAGATAGCTCACGGCAGACCAACTGACATAGCATTAGCAGGGGGTAGTCGCGAACAGAGAAATACTTCAAGCTCGAGAGGCATGTCGTACATTGGCACTGCAGTGACCAGACAGGGCTCCGGCTCACATATCCAAAAAGATAGTAAAGGCATGTCAAGCGTCAACTCTAGTAATACAGACACAAGTAGGAGTTACCTCCCATTCGTCCATCACACTACCATGTCTCGCCTTGCGGAGAAAGACTCCAGGATCGCTGGGTCTCCAAGTTGTCCGACTGCCTCGTCCGGACGCGAGCTTGCTAGATGAAGCAGTAACCGCGGCGGACAACCTTCATTTCAGAGACTTTGCATGAAAAACGTCGTCTTGACCCTGAGTGGCGGGGGCGAATGCGTGAGATGTATGTATCACGAAGGGTCGGTTATAGCAGGCTGGGGGTTGGTAGCCAGAAAGGGGGGCGGCTCTTTTTCCCGGGCTTGGCAGATGGTTAGTCAGCGACCTTCATCGTTGCATTGTCGGTCGACTGTCCAAGTCGTTAGATGCTCACCTCTGTCTTCCATAAGCAAGCAACATTCAGACTTGGGAGCTCGGTTTCTGCTAATTACACACTTATACCGACGAAGATGCTGTCATGTTCTTTCGAGCATACTGTCGTGGATAGGGTATGTTTCGGAAGCCCTAAGCTCTTGCTCCTTTGCCCTTGCTTCATGAAAGACGCGGACAGAGGAGTTTGAGCATATGCATTGCAGCAACTTTGGTTTGCTCTCTTCTTGAAAGCTTTCGTGTCTTGTGTCCCTCCACGGCATGCGTGGATTGCTTTCTTCCACCTTCAGAGAGTCTGCCACAAACGACACACAGACGAGCCACAACCCTTCCGCTCAGCTTCTGTGTCTTCCTTCCCATCTGACTCTGAACTCTCTCATGTCTTCTCTTATCGAACGGCTTGGTTCTAAGCACCTTGGGACTTGAACGACTTCGAGGAGAGTTTGCAACACGAACGAACAAATTAGATGAGGACCAGAACACAATAGCCTCGTATAAGAGGTGTGGTGCCCCGCTTTAACTACCCGAATTCAGAATATCGATCGATCTGGACCTTGATAATCAAAAGAGAACGTCACGAAATGTGAGCCAGTATCACTCTTTCTTTTGTACAACCTCATGGCCGACGCGCCGGAGGGTAGTCACTTTGGGAAAGAATCTGAGAAGAACGGTGCGTCAAATTGATTCATACTTTACTGTACTGAGCTATAAAACAGAATCGAAGGTGACCAAACCCAATCCGGTCGAGAACAACCACACAACCACACCATTACGCATGCTCACAGCCACACAACCGCACAAGCGCCAAAAAATCACCCTCACTACCACCTCACAACCACATAGCCTCACAGCCACACGAATGTCACGACCGGCGCCTACTGGAGCGCGAAGTTCGATCATCCTTGTCACAGTCGTTAACATTCTGCCAAATCTGAGACAAGATTTGAATTTTATTCTCTCTCAACCACCGTTCTGGGCGGTTTCTAGGAGGACGGAAACAGGGGATCTCAAGAAGACAGTGGTGAGAGGCTGATCCAGAATTTTCCGGCAAGGGAAGATCGACCACGGATAGTTGTAGGCACCGTAGCAAGCGTGGCAGCTTCAATCACATGGAGACGGTCCTCGAAGGCCTGTTGACGGTTCCGAAAATCAGCAGAACCACGTGCTACAGGTACGCCGGCGTAATTACGGTACCCTTACGACCGGCTTTCCTGTAACCATAGATTCTGATATGACATCCAGATCTGGGGTAACGAAGAGAACCGCGCTGAGTCTTCGAATTTCGGATTTTGGGGGGACTCGATATCTGACTGGGTTCATTGACTAATGATATTGAAGTTCTCAGAGGTCAGCAAAGCTGCTCCTCTTGTGTTCAATGTCAGGGATGAAGGAGTACCAAGGGCACTGGAGACACTAATGGCTGAGTTCGGACGTGGAACCCACTCATCGTTCTTGCATAGCACCTACAGCATTTATCTGCAGAAAATTAATTGACGTGCAGGATCTAATTGAAAGAACTCAATATTCCTCCACGCTTGCACTTCTTGTAGGTTTCTTCCGGACCTACTCCGGTATTTCGGTATGCAATTCCGCTGTGTTCGAGTAAGGGGGCGAGTTGACCACTAAATTGACTGACGCGGCCACTCGTAATGACGCACGGTGACGTCCGCTTCGATCAACACGAACTCACCATGCAAGGCAGATATTCACTAGATGTTATCGCGAAACACGCCAGGTCGTACTGATTTTTCCTTACTCCCAAGTCTTCCTCGGTCGCATGATGTTTGTGGCGACGTCCAAGAGTTAAAATGGCATGGCCTAGACTGTACCATTAGGTCGAGGTTGAGGCACTAGATATAGAGCGCCACAAGACCATATACTGTGAATGTTGCGCGGACTATTTGCTTCAAATGTGATACGGATCGGAGTGAGACGGACCAATGTTAGGGAACCTCTACTGTACTGCGGGTTGGAAGATGATAATGCCCAATTTATCTAAGGGAAACAAAATCTGCAGGGAGGGTAAAATCCTTTGCCACCAAATCAGCGGTCTCTATTTGACGACCACCTAAACCTAGGGAGAACCCCACGAATAGGACTCGGAGATACTTCCCGTTCTTGACCTGCTTTTGCGTTTCTTTGCCGTCAGCATTACTTAAGGGCCATGTGACAGTCGTCTTTCTGTATCGGAGTGTCCAAATATTTTCTTGTAGCATGTCTTATCCGTGCTCACCGTGTTGTCTTTGACAATTGCAGGAGCGATAAGATTTTCCAATAGATTTTTGCTCACCGCACGTGGCAGCCCTCCCGCCATTTCAGTCCGCCCCATGTACAACAGCTTCGTTAGGCTACTTTCGTTGAGAGAAGCATCTTGCTAGCGAATTCACCGATCCACTCAGTTATCCAGGTTCCGATATCAAGTCTCGATCACCTTGTTCTGCTCCTGGGCCCGCTACTAGAGAAGACTTCAAACCACAAACTTGACATCGAACGGCTGAGCTGGAACATAAAAACTGAGTTCCAATGTTTGTTACCAAGAATTTAAGTCAGTCGAATCGCTTTCAGTCTCAGTCTGGCAAGACAATATCATATACAAAATGGTTCGAGGATCTTAACTGGGGAAATGTGTTTTGGATTATCGTCTTTCCGCTCTTCGGCCTGGTTGCTGCAGGATTTACGCCGTTGCAGACCAAAACTGCTATATGGACCCTCATTTATCACTTTACGACCGGTCTAGGAATTACAGCAGGTTAGTATTTACGACTCTCACTTCTCCTTGATTATCATATAATGTGGTCCCTAGGATATCATAGACTATGGGCACATAGATCTTACACCGCTAGCCTCCCTCTGAAAATCTGGCTTGCTGCTGTTGGCGGTGGTGCGATGGAACACTCGATTATAAATTGGTCTCGAGATCATCGCACCCATCATCGCTATACAGACACGGTTAAAGATCCTTACTCGGTCCAAACGGGCTTATTCTATGCCCATATCGGATGGTTGATATTCAGACGAGATTCCAATTGTCAGGGTGATGCTGACATCTCCGACTTGGTGAACGAACCAATTGTGGTCTGGCAGCATGACCACTACACAGTAATTGCTATGTCGATGGCCTACATCCTCCCTTGCTGTATCGGCGGTCTGTGGGGTGACTGGTGGGGCGGTTTTATTTACGCTGGCATCATACGCGCATTCCTGGTACAGCAATCGACCTTCTGTGTGAACTCTATCGCGCACTGGTTAGGAGATCACACATATGACGACCGAAATTCTCCAAGGGACCACGTGTTTACTGCTCTAATCACTCTCGGGGAAGGATATCATAATTTCCATCACGAATTCCCGTCCGATTATCGGAATGCGATCGCCTGGTATCAATACGACCCCACTAAATGGATGATCTGGCTGTGGAAGCAAGTAGGACTTGCACATAATCTCAAGTTATTCTGTCCAAACGAGATTGAAAAGGGTAGACTTCAGCAGCAGCAAAAGAAGCTTGACCTGACACTGGCCGAACTGCAATCAACTAAGCTTCAGCTACTACCTGTAATGGAATGGAATGAATATCAAGACGAAGTCCTCAAAGGCCGCTCTTGGCTCACTATAGCGGGCTTGGTGTATGATGTTGGTAGATTTGGGGAGGAACATCCAGGCGGGAAATCTATGATTTACAGTGGCATTGGGAAGGACGCTACTGCTATGTTTCACGGCGGTGTTTACAATCGTAAGCTATCACCTTTGACAGCTCGTTCGGGGAGTCCACTGACAATTTCACAGACTCAAATGCTGCCCACCATCTTCTCGCCACTATGCATGTTGGCATTATCCGTGGCGGTGGTGAGGTCGAGATCTTGAAACGTCACGGGAAACGTGGAGCTTTTCTGGAATGACATAGATACACAGCAATTGATGTACTATTAAAAGGCGCTGGTAAGTAGCAGGAGCATTACCCAATATGCCTTGTTACGACTAATACCAGGTCAGTAGAATCCCTGCCGCTGATTATGGCGTTCTGTCTACCTATCCGCAAGTATCTGAACTACTCGTTGCCACATTGCGTTTCCACTTCCCTATTTAGTCATTCAAAGTTCTCATATGCAACGGCAGAAATTAAGGGCATCGCCAGTCAATATCTGGGCGGAGGATCCTATCCATCACGATTCTTTCACCCACACCTCTCTTTGCATTCTATCTACCTTCAATCCACTTCTTCCGCAATTAGCGCTCCTCTAAGTCGTTCAGAATCAGGCCTGGAACCTCGGACTTTCTTGAACAGCATCATCTCTAGGGCGATACCTGGTCCGAATGCGCAACCCGCGACGTGATCCTTACCTGCACCATTAATGAGCAGTCAATGGAGAACGCTGAAAATGGTAGCACTGGAGCTGTTCCCATGCGTTATGTATACTTCGTAGCTGGCCCGCAAGTTTTCTTCCGTCAAGTTCGTGGATTTTTGCACTCCACTTATGACAGTCGTACCTCCAGGATCCAGCGCCCAGTCGGAGTCTGCCGCGCGAGTCTCTTTAATGTCAATTGCGCTCTCTAACGAGGAGATCATATCTTGAAAGACTGTTGGCACAGCTGCTGAAGCAATCTCCGGTACGCTCTGAGTCAGAACGACTTTCCATCCTGGCAGCCGCTTAGGAATAAATGATCGAATGTTACGGATAGCAAAGCGTACCGAAGGGGTCAATGTTGAAACCAAGCTCCTTCGTTGTGCCCTCAATAACCCTGTGTTCCCAACCCAATAACTCTAAGAGAGGATCCTTGCCAGAGCCATTACCAAACCCATTTCCCAGCACGACCGCCGAAGCACAGTCACTAAAAAGTGTGACTCCAATTCTAACGTCTTGATCCCTGTTAATCGAGTCAAGCTCAGACCTAACAAACACACTCGAGATCTCGCAGGCTGACACCAGGATGCGGGCAGGTTTACAAAGGAAGCGCGACCCGAGAGCAATATTAGCTGCGGTGCGTAATGCTGCAAGGCCGCCCGAACAATCGACCCCGTGGAGTAAGACTTTCTCGATACTCGAGTCCAAACCGAGCGCTTTCACCACAAAGTGGTCAAATCCCGGGTTAGCTGAGTTTGTACATGTCGTGGAGACCATGTGCGTAATCTCCGAGATGTCGCATCCCCACTGCTCCAGCGCCTTTTGGCAAGCGGCAACAGATAATCTGACGCCATAGTCCAAGAAGATGTCACACAGTTCCGCAATCGAGGGGTGGTGTTGGTCCATTAGCAATGGGATGATCGATTGTTCCTATTGCTGACCTCGTCTCAATTCCAGTGTACTCGTCAATTGATAAGATTTTCTGCAGGCTGTTTCAAGAGTGTTAGCATACGGAACAAGCAAGTAACCCTTCAGTCGCTCTCACGCAGGCGAGCGAGGGTAGAACCTCCTTGCCAAAGTTGCCAGATCTCCAGACTTGATGTCGTGGGGCGGACACTGAACTCCAATACCGAGGATATGAAGGTTTGGCCGCACGAACGTTGTTGAATTATTGTTGGAATTAATTATAGCTGACATATCTATCACGCAAGAAACATTTAATTTAGGGAGTGAGTAGATGAATAACTACAGGCAGACTAGATTCTCAGCATTAGAAGCTACGTACAAAGCTAGGCGTAAGCTTCCGTCCCCAACCGGGTGTTGCCGATCAGGCTGGTGGTCTCACCGAGACCTGAAAAGCAAGAAAAGGCTGAAATTTCTGTTACCTCTAAACAAGCCGGTTTTTTTCGTCTTCCACCAACGGCGAGGCCCCTGTTCCTCTGGGGGCGATTGAGGCTCATATTCCAGGAGAACGTGCTTCAGCCACGTGTCGCACGTTTGCATTCATCGCCCTGACAGCCCGTTCACTCTTAATGCACCTCCAGTAGAGATCGTGCAAGTCTGGCATGTAGGACAACGCCGTTATACACAATACTGTGTCGTCAAGACTGCCACAGCTGTGCTACAGAATGAAGAAGCCACCTTCCCTCCTCACCCTCATACATATCGCAATATTGCGTGAAAGCCCAGACCTTAGACAGGAAGGTCGGACGAGGAAGGCATTTAACTGTCGATGGCAACGCTAGATCCCAGCCACATTGCCTGGACATGAACAACCACGCTGGTGGTCTACTTTCCCAGCGCAATCCATGGTCTGGACGTACGTCCGCAAGCCGATTTTGCTTGTCCGAGACCTTCTTCGTCTTCAGCCGGTTACATTCGCACAGACATCTCAAGACTCGTACGCGACGGTTCTAATTTGCCCTGCAAATCACCTTGTGCTTTTTCCAATCGGTACGTTGACACTCCCGAAAGTAGTGTTTGGCTTGCTGACAACGCGCGCAATTTAGCAGGCCAGACCCATTCACTGCTGTGTCTCTACCACATGATAAGCATGCCTTTGCCTTGTTTTCCCGCGCCTCTTTCTCAAGCTCGTCAGAGTCGGAACCACCTTCGAACATCGCGGCAGAGAAACATGAGGAGATCGCCGCTCTAACTGTGTATTTGGCTACTTTGCGCCAGTTCGGGATACTCGTAACAAAGCCAGAAGGTATTGAACCGTCCCCACAAGAGCACAATAGCTTTTGGCCCTTTTCGACGGAGAGCTGTACTCGTCGCTCGGCCAGATACTCGCACTCAGCGTTGTGAGACCAGTTCCTGGTACGCTCGACAAGCCCGGGTAATACCTGCTTCCAGACACGCATCTCGGCTTCCGTGGCACGGATCTGACAAAAGCCACCGTTTTTGGTCAACGATCCCAGAAATAAGGCGATTCGGGGTATCAGGGTGTCTTGCAGTGGCAGCACTGCCGTGTCAAGCACGACTGTGCGGTTCGAAAGATCGAGTCGAAGTGAGGACACAAAGAACGAGATATGCACGCCACCATCTGTCGGGCAGGTTATCCCAAACACACTAGCACGTGGGCCTTGCAGTCCACTGTAGTGTATGAACAAGGAGAACAAAGAGTCTTTAAACTCTACCCGTGTTCGCTCCCCTAAGGGAGCCTGCAGCTGCGGATTGCTGCGGAGTGATCTCTCGCTCCCACTGAACATCATCGATGTATGTGTGGTAAGCCAATCGAGGCGTTCTTGCTGTCTCAAGTCCAGAACTGGCAGCGAGTCGAGCTTCAGATACGGTATGTTCCAAGCTGTGACGATGTCCGCGTCGAGAAGGACGGGGTACATAAAAGAGCAGAATGAGGACCAGTCGGCGCCATCGGCAACCGAACAAATCAATTCGATATAGGAAGACTTCCGAGCGATTTTGATCTTGAGTCCTGACTCCAGTACAGGGATTGGGAAGTCTACCGTGAATTTCAATCCCGGTTGAGGATTGCTGGTGAAGTTGAACGGCGTTTCCAAGACTGAGCTGACGTGCCCACCCGCTTGGAGTGTATTTTTGTAATTGGTGGAAATGATGTCCACACGACCAGCTAGGGACACGAGCGTAGCTGTCCTCGAGTCGACGGAAGCAGTGATGGTCGTGTTTGCAAGTAAGTCTATGCTGGTAGGAGGCGAAGCATTGTAGGCAGCAGGCCTACAGATAGAGAGGGTGCCGGACTAGTGGGGCAAATTTTTGCTGATGTAGACATGCTCGGCATCTGAAAGGGCGGTTCGGTAAACAATGAGCTGAAGACCAAGATTGTCGATAAATGCTTCGGTACTCTGGGGAGTACTCTGAATACAAAATTCCACAGGAGCCATTCGTGGTTGTAAGAGGAGCATCCACGTGGGAGCATAGAATGACACCAACAATGGCGACGTTCCACTCCATGCGTACTTGTCCTCAATGATGCCCACTTCGAATGAAGAACTGAATGCAGTGCCATGGCTTTCTACCTAGCCGAATCCCATTTGGATCGCTCCGAAAATATTCTGCCATGGTCGTGCGGTGGAGGAGCCTTGTCAAGTAAATATGGTAGAGGATCGTCGCGAGGCTGGTGGGGTCGAAATGGATTCGCTCTGGAGCTTTCCTTTGTGTCAAGCCGTCGTACATGCATATTGGCCGCTTCTATGCAATCCTGGCAAACAGTTGCCCACACTCGGACGGCTTCGCTCCTGAAGTTACAACCGCTGCATCGAGGAGGAGTTCATCGCTGGTGGAGAGCGCTGACGTGTTCGTCACAAAATCCGCGGGTCAAACCAAGCAGCATCGAGACTCTCGGCAAAGGGCCACAAAGGAGGCCGTCAAATAAGCTGCTATACGTGCTGTCCGACCGAACAAGCTTTTCGGTGTGGAGAGTGGCGGAGTTGTCGTGTGCCAGAAGTGGCGCGGCTGCGAGAAGTAAATTGAGAGCCCCCACGTGAGTCGATAAGGTTCGAGGTATCGATGATGGTGAAGGTAAGCGGACCGGCCTCGCATCCAGCGTAGTTCCCCCGGTCAAGTGCCAAGGGCTCGAAATGAAAACGATCGCGATATAAATGTGCAGATGAAGTTGATTGTGCGTTATTCAGATACTGTAGACAATGGGAGACGGCCAGAGCATCACCTACAAAAAATCGCAGTTTGACAGGATGCGCGTGATTCCTGAATGAGGTCGTCCACGAACGAAATTCAGTCTTCGCCGCCTCGACCACATGCTCCTGAGGAGTTAAACCTGCCGGGGATAGAAAAAGGGCGATGGTGGTGCTAATGGCACGTAGACAGTGGCTAAGTAGAAGCCCAGCAGCGGATGGGTCCCATAATACATGAGAACGTTGTCATCCAGAGAAACGAACATTGGGTTGGCATGTAGCGAGTGACTGGGTTGACCGATTGAGATCGGTAGAGCCGTACTGCCAGTAGTGCTTATGCATGGTGTCCAGGTCGGTAATTGAGCGTAGAGGCGCAGGAGACGAAGATCAGAACCCGGTGAGATTCATACCCTCTCCTAGCCGGACCTTATGTTGATTTTGATTTCCGGATGCAGGCGTCGAGATGTTCTTTAAAGCGGGAGATTTCGTTTCCCTTTCTTTCAAACCCGTAGAACTTCCACATCTCCCGGACCTTTTCGAGAGATCCATGGTCGCAGAGTTTGATCAGCCTGCCATACTTGCTCTCGTGCCAGGTTCCCAGAGAAACAGCTAGAGCGTATAGCTTCCGTGCCTGGTTTTGTAGCAGATGAAGTGAATTTTCGTCAATCCGGAAGTGGTAGTAGATGTTCCAATGGAGGGAATTCCTCGTGCCATCGATGTCGTCAATGATCAGTGAGAGTAGAAGTATGTTACGGGCTTTTGGTTCTGGTCAGCAAGTAGCTTGGATTGGAAGATGAACGTACCGATGATAGCTTTATCCACATCACAAAACGTAAAGTCCAGCGTTCGATCTTGCTTGTCAGCAAATCTTGCCGACACATAGCGAAAAGTATGAACCCTACCATCCGTATGAATTGTGAACATAATATGACGGATGTCCCTACTGCCGAGGAGGAGGACATCTGCCGGTTTCTCCGGGGGTAGATTTTGAGTTAGAGAAACGGCCGGGGATTCCCAAGAGGAAAGAAGAACGTGGCAGTGTTGGCAACCTGGGAAGTAAGCATGTCGCCGTTATTGACGAAACCTTGAATGATCGCTGACCGTCAGAATTGTCGCTCTCGATCGTGCGAGAGAAAGATGAGCAGACCAACGTCAAGGCGGGAATCATGTCCTTGTACTTAGTGCCGACGACGTTCGAACATGCCAGGAGCAAAAAGAATGTCTATACGCCATTTCTGCTTGATGCGATAGGGATAATCGGTCGAATTGCCACCTGGTCAGTCCTGTAAGGAGCAAAATTTTACTCGTAGCTTTTGATCCTGCTGACGATATCGCACATAGGCGCAACGATCAATGGCACCGACAATGCCAAACCGGTCAAGAGTGTACGGTCCGCATTCTATCTGATCATTGGGAATGGTTGAGATGGTCACTTTCAGAGTACTAGGATTCTGGTACCGCACTGGTCAGATACTCCGGTCTCAAAGTGTTGAGGAAGCCGTCTCAGAAGGGAATGGGGGTCACCCATATCCTGATATTGGCATTGCGGTTACCAAAAAGTCCAAAAAGAGAAGATATATCAGCAAAGAGTTCCTCGCAAGCTGAAGGTCGTGGCCATTGACGTGAGAAAACCGATCAAGATAAGCTAGAAGAGGCGGAAGGATGTATCAGCAGGCACTGCGCGGGTGTGAAAAGGTGCAACCTTTGTTCACACGTACCTTCTGGACAGGCTCGAGGAGGTAAGCGATTGGAATTCTATCAACGAGGACTCGTCGGACTTCAGACCGTTCTCGGTCTATCTCACGAGCGATGTCAGCAACTTAAGATTGCCATTGATTCAATACATCCACAGCAAATTGCGAACTGCATCCTCGTTCAATATATAAGGGGTTTCGAGCGGTACGCAGGATGAATCCTGGAGATCTCCATTGGCTGCCACTCCAGCCAGAGGAACTATCGGCCACGGCTCCGGTCGAGCCATTGCCTCACCGTCCTGGTAAGCGCAACCAGCAGAGCTCGCCCGTCCAGACCATACGCCCTGAAGTGATCATGATTGACAGCGACTTGTCTGACGGCCCCAGCACTTGAGGTGTCATGGAGTCGGTCACGCCTTTCAGTCTCACGCCTCTCACCCTTCACGATGACGAATGGGCGCCGTCGGTGTCGTCACAGTGCGTGTCTCACACCCATTTCAAGTCTACACAACATACACTGACACTGCCTCTCTGGAAACGGAGCACAATGGAAGCGTCAGAGTCTTGTTCTTCAAAGCTGATTTCAAATCATCTTCGCAGGTTCGTGTCTATAGCGAGTATTTTGTCTTCTGCTCGGGCACATCCAGATGCTGGCCATCCTGCCGTGCTACCATGATTGCGACGTATTTTAATGACGCTACTGGATGAGAGCATTGAATTTGATGATAATCATCGGCAGTCATTGCTCCATAGATGCAAATACTGGGTCGAGGAACGATCAAATGGACGCTGGAGCTGGTGGCCACTGTATCAGGCACAGGGAGGGGTTAACGCCGTAATTGCCGCTCCTTCTGGAAGTGTGTAGGTTGATCCCTCTTTAAAACCTGGAGCCACCCTAAAAACTCAAAAGGTAGGTACTACATGGACAGCATTGTGGTAGGAAACATTGTCGGGATATTCCCAGAACAGATGCTTCGAGGTTTAAGAGACTCCTAGAATTACGCGAGGTGCCTCTCAGCACAGATCATCTCTGCCTTGGCGGCAAAAGGGAGCGATGCAGCTGGCGGATAACTCATTCGCTTACTTCTGAATCACATTTTGGGCACCTCTCCTGGACCTCTCCGTGCTTCCTGGACGCTTGAAATCTAGAAGCACAGTCCCAGTATGGCTTTGTGTCTTGACCGGCAAAGTATCGATCTCGGTCCTCCCAGACCTGAGCGGTCAAGAACCTGCTCAAATTCGCTCCACGCTCAGTATCAATTGAAGATCGCTTCGCTTGGTTGACGGTGGCCGAGCACTGCCATGTGAAGCGGGGTAAACAACCGTGCCTTCACCAATCGGTGCTAGCTCATTCTCACAGGAATGGGTGCTGTATCGCTGGTTTATGGTCCCGGTCTGTATAAAGCGGTATGCATCTCGGCTGCGTGCCACAGAAGAAACTTCTGTAAGGGTTATATTTTGAACGCAAGCCTTCTGGACCGAGCCACAGGTCTGCAGGTGATGGTTGAGGAAGCCAGAAAACATGAGATCGTCATCGGCACAAGGTAAGGCAAACAACAATCATCACATGTCGGTTCAGTCAACTCGCAGCGGAGTGTGGACCTCGAACTCTGCTGATCGATTGAACTCTGGGAGGGGAGGGTGTAGCGTGTGATCTGTAGTTGAACCAGAGAAGAAGTTGTCGGGGGTGGCAGGTAGTCGTTCAAAGCTCATCTGAGGGAAAACAGTGAAGTTCTCCCCAGCCATCACGATTTGTTCGCTGAAGAAGGCGTCGGCGAGCGCAATGAGATGTGTCTGAATCTCCTCAGGAGATTTGCATCCTGCGCAATTGGCGTGTGCGACCAGTATGGCGTAGGTCTGCTGGATCTCATCTTTCATGCACGTGACTTGTTCTCTGAGGCAAGCGTTCTCGACCCTCTTGTCGTGTGAATCCCGCTGTAATCGCTCTGTCTTCTCCTTCTTGTTGATGCGGCATTTTGCAGCAGCGATTCTGTTCTTCTCGAGAGAATGCTTTCTCTTACTTTCTTCCGGAGTGTCGTCTTCTTTATTGAGGGTAGCTAACTTTTTCATAGACCTGCGCTTGCGCTCCGTTTTCTTAGCCGGAGCGCCAGGGACGGTTTCCGAATACCCATTTCGGAGGCTGCCTCGCTTTCGCGATTTTAATGGTTGAGCCTTTGGGAACATATTGTCTTCCTTGGAGGCTGTGCTAGCGGTAGAAGCTGATCTCGGAGGAGTCACCTGGCCGAATCGTGAGACGGCAGTCTGAGGCATTGTGGACGTGCTGGACTTGTCCAGTTCAAAACCGTCCAGGTTGATTTTAATCTCTGTTGATTTCTTCGGCTCGTTCTCGCGCTTGGTCTCCGGCCATTGAGACGGGCAGTCGTTGGGAGGGCTGGAGAAGGTGTAGTCATTGTAGACTGCGTTGGGTTTGGAGGGCGGGTCGAAGCCAAAGTCGTCATCCTTGGCAAAAGTAAAGCTGGCATTGGATGGGAAGCGAGGGTCTCGAAAATTGCAACCGTCCAGATCGTTGATGCTGGCTGTTGCTGAAGAGGCGCCAGCCGAGGACATGCTTGATTCACTGGCGAGGAGGGTCCCGTTTGCAGTTCCCCGGAGCTTCGACCGAGTTACACGCTGAAGCTCGCAACTAGGAAGTGGCGTTGATGGTGACGGCGTACGCTTCGGTTGCAGGGAATGCGGTGTACAATGCGTTTGTTGTCAGTCGTTAGATGTGTGTTGCACATCTGAGATGATTGCACAAGCGCCGCTATATGGGTGACTACATTGGATGGAGGGGCTACATCAATGTGAGATTTACCGGCCAGATTGTGGAAGCAACATCCAGGTGAGGAGAGGGGTGACTTAGGACTGCCTAGAAACAGGGAATTCGAAGGAAGGACGAAAATTGTGGAGGTGCGGTGGACGTGGCGGCCAAAGCTCGATCGAATAATTCGCTGTCCTGCTTGTGAATCCGCTCCGTGGAGAACAACTGCACTAAGCGTGGCTTGAAAGCAAGGCTCTTTGTTCTTAGTCTGGAAGCTGGTCTAAATGGAGATGTACATCCTTCGGATGCTGGTTGGGTGAGAATGAAGGCGGGACATGCCTTGACTGTTCGCGTTTTAACGAACTGGACCAATTGCACAGGAATATGGCGCTAAATCGCCTTACCCAGTTCCAACTGTCCGCCCGGATTGAGAAGCACGTTGCCTATCATCTACGATTCAGGCACTTGTGCGGAGCTGTGGTTGGTCGATCGGGAGCCATGACCGCATCCTGCATCCTAGTGGGACCCACCATGCAACTAAGGCTTAGAGGCCGGGGAAATATTCCCGACCCCCTGTTCTTGCCTCTACATTGCCATTGGTAAGGCGCTGGCTGGAAAGATCGACCGGGCTGAATAGTCTTTCCTCACTGCGTGGAATCGACATCGAATTGCGTTGAATCTGATCTACGAGCATCTTTGCCTAAGCAGAACCCTCATCAGATGTCATGCAGGCTTTTCTCGATGCACAGGCGCGATGTGCGCACCTGTCACAATGATAGCATGCGATGGCTATAAGCAAATGCCGATGCATTCTATCGGCTCCTGACATCACCGTGCCGATTCTTGGACATGAATATCAGCAAAATCCGCAAGTTCAGACAGATCGAGCAATCCGGATTCGTTCCGCGGCCGCCTGCCTTGCCTTTGCGAACAACTTTTCGCCAGATGACGGAACGTTGTTCCTGATACCGCCAACGTTCGCGTAATGGTCTCTTCTAATCTACCATCTCCTGATATAACTGTACTTTAGGTCCAAACCCACATTTCCATGCAGTGCCAAATCTGCCATATCTATTACTTGAATTGATGGCAGGTTCTACCGGACGAGGACTGGCACCGTTTCCAGATGCTGACCGGTCCATTGCACAACATGATCAGCTGTCGAGTACAGTGGAGCTGCCCCCGCGCAAGAAGGTGAGTCTTGCATGTCTCGCTTGCAGGAGGCGCCGCACGAAAGTATGTTCTTCCCAACTGCAGATGCTTGACCAGGCTGACTTTCCAAGTGCGACGGTGGCATAACTTGCGACTCATGCCTCTCCCGGAACACCGAGTGTGTCAGAGATGAAAACGACGACGGCCGGCGCAAACTTGCGGTGAAGCGCAGGATAGAAACTCTAGAAAAAGACCGGCATTTGCTAGAAGATCTGCTCAATGCACTCCGGCTCGCCGGACCCAACCAGCTGAACGCCCTCGTCACCATGATACGCGCCGAAGCCGGACGGCACGAAATCAAGACCTTCCTGGAAGATGGCTTCAGAGACTTTGGAGCCGTTGATGAACAGAACCGCCAGCAAGAATACAGAAGGCATCGCCATATGCTAGGTCGGGTACAAGACATTATGAACCCTCCTTTGCAGCTCCCCGCAAAACCCTGGACGACTGTGACAGACGACGATGACCTCATCTCGCACCTCATGTCACTTTGGTTTACATGGGCGCATCCTTGGTGGCATTGGGTGGACGAGAAGCAATTCATCAAGGCGATGCAGGCAGGCGACACTTCTAGCTTGATCTGCACTCCCTACTTGGTGAATATGATGTTGGCAGACGCATGCGTGAGTGCAGTTTCGTTGGCAGGATTCGGCCACATCTCAACTGACTGGTGCACCATCAGTTACTTGACACACTGGGCGAAGACGGCGAAGAGCCTAACCTGGAGCTGCGGCAGCAGTTCTACAATGAAGGCAAGAAGGGGCTCGATGCTGAAGAAGGTCGTATTTCTCTTGCGTACTTGGCGGCGCTGGGCGTTCAGTGGACATAGTAAGTCGAGCCCTTCTCTCTTCCACCATGGCTGACGAGGTGCCTTCTGTACAGCCTTGACACGAACGGACAAGACCAGCTAGGCAATGCAACACTCTACCAGCAAGTCTTCCTAGTGAAAAGCCTGGGCAAGTGGCGGACAAAAGTCGCGAAGGACCCTAAGATGACAGCACAGCATCTGGATGCGATTGACCTCTCCATCGTGCGACTTGAATGGACGTTATACTGCCTCGGCTTGTTCGTCGGCCTGGCCCTGGAGCAAGTCCGACTATTCGACAAGCCAACCCGAGCGAGACCGGTGGGCCACCCAGAAACAGGAAACACCTGTGACGAGAATGCGGAATGGAAGCCATACCCACTTTCGCATACCCCTGTGGACTGGCACCCTAACTGCCACTACCTCGCCTACATAGCGCTCGCGGAGGTGATTACCGAGGATGAGGCATTGTACGAGGAGTACCGAAAGTCTGACCCGCCAAAGATGGCGTACAAGTTCCAACGACTCTTCACAAAAGTGAAGGCTTGGCCGGAATCTATTCCACCATGCATGAGGAACCAAGATAGCTGCATGCCGCATGTTATTGCCCTACAGTGAGCGCATCCCCCATGTCCGCCGCACGTGCTCTTTCATCCTGCCCTCAAGCGGTATACCTCCTATGGCATGTTTTATACCAAGTGTTTGAACGCTCACGCACTCCATTTAACAGCGCACTCCACAGCTGGGTCATTATAACCATGGGCAAACAGACTGCCGCCCTAGAAGGCAGCACAGACAGGCCATCACTAGTTTCAACCCCCCCTTCTTTCGAGAGAGACCGCTGGAAACACGTCTGCAGAACCGAAGCCGTCCGCATCAGCGAATACCTAGAGCGAATGCGCCAGAACTGGGGTGCCGACCACTTCCCCGTCATGATCATTCAGCCCGCCACAGTCGCAGCCTTCGCACTGCTTGAAGACCTCGACCGACCCGACTGTCAGGGCGCCTTCTACAAGCTTTGCATCGTGCTTCGCGCTGCGTCTCGGCGGTTCCGCGTGTGCAAGAGCGTTCTGCGCCTTTTGGAGAAGACGGCGAACGAAATTAATGTTGTCGTTCCTGGCGGATGTGCTGAATTGCTTGCCGACGAGGATTATTCCAACATAATGGAGTTGGATGGCGTTATGAGGATCGATGATCTGGGTTTGGATTACTTGCTTGAGAAGTGGGATGACTTGGATCTTGATGAGGCTTCTTGATATGTCGGGCGCGTTCGCCAGGTCGAATCGTACGAGAGTCGCCTGTGAGTGGCAATGCTGCAGAGACCGATGCCAGGTCCAGTGGCCGTCGTGCCATGGGCATCCGTTGGGGACTCGTGCGCGTAAGTTGGACCCGGTCCGAATACCGAATCTCTACTAGATGCACCTAATACAACATCGCACTCCTGCATCAGTGACGGGCGAGATTAGAGGGGTGGTTGGCCCTTGCGATTGCATCCAGATACCACAACATCCCTATAGAAAATGTATTGAATCCACAGTGATAATAATAGTCTTCCAAGGCGATTTGCTGGATCTCGACAGCTCAACTTTAACACCTATCAATAATTTTTCCCTACAACATTTTGACTTACGTGGTTTCCGTCGCACATATAGGTGACGGTTTTCGCGAGTGGCAGATGGGGAGACCGACCCTGTATTGATCTCCATCCAGTCTTCCGGTACGGGGCATTTGCATCAGGCAATGAACGTCTGGAAAAATAACGGGAAGAGAGAGACAAGCTGGATCAGGAGTTTGCAGCGCTGTGGATGAAAGATGGAAGTGGCCAGGTCGATGAATGATTTCCCCTGCATCGTCATACGAGGGATCCGTGACTATGGCGATTCTCACAAAAGCAATGGATGGCAGAAGTATGCGGCTCTCACGGCGGCGGCTTATGCCAAAAGAAATCCTCGGGCACATCTCACCGGAGCAGACAAGGCTGGAAAGCCGATTCAAGACATCGTGGGTAAGTAGGACATCTCAGGGAGTCAGCACGGATCAGATTTCTGGGAGAGGTAACTCAAGGACTGATATTCGAACTGCTATCGATAGGATCTCTTGACAACCTTCTGTTGAAGCAATCCAGCTTGATGAAAGAGCACCCTGTGGAGGTACAGCGAAGGAAATTCAAGTAGCCGTGGCTTCTTTCGTCATGCGGGGGATTTCACGGAGTTGCGCACTTTTCCAGAGTGCAAATTACGTGACACAGATTTGGCCGACTTTTGCTGACATCAGCGTCAGGTCAAGCAATGTACTGTCTACTTGAAAGGTGACGGTCAGCATAGTCAAGGTAGAAGCCAATGAAGCACATGAGTGTAAAGACCTGGAACGATAGACCAGCAAATTGCGATACTGACGACGACTTGGCTGTTACAAGCGTATCAGAGCTTTGTCTTTGCTCTTTTTATTTCGCCTTATTGAGTGATTTGTCTATGCTTATTGGTCTAACCAGTCTTCTTCCATTGAACATCGCTATAACCCACAATCTGGGAGAACACCTCATCTCTGTGCCGTAAGCCTGCGATTTCATATTGTGCTTCGTCCATAGTCACAAAGAGAAGACCCTCGCTGTTTGTGTGAAGGCTGGTTCTGGGTACCTGCAGATTGATTGAGTCAGCGACCGTTTTCCCTTTGCATGGCCGTGGCGGGATATTGACCTTGTGAATCCGCTGCAGCCTCTCATATGGTATCGTCCATTGTTCTGGGCCTTGGCGCGATGGCACGAAACTTAGACGGTCTGTAGTGACCGTG